AGAAATAAGGGGGGTGAGAAAGAGAAATAAGGGGGGGGGTGAGAAAGAGAAATAAGGGGGGGTGAGAAAGAGAAATAAGGGGGGGTGAGAGAGAGAAAAGGGGGGTGGGTGAGAGAGAAAGGAGGGGGTGAGAGAGAAATTAGAAGGGGGTGAGAAAGAGAAATTGCGAGGATGAGAAGGAAATTGGAGCGGGAGGAGAGATTGACATTCATCACATACACACAATGCACCCCTTGCACACAGAAAAACACACAGACACACATACACAAGCAATGCAACCGTTACACACAATGCATCCCTTACACACACAGAAACACACAATGCATTCATTACACACACTCAATGCACCCCTTACACACATTCAATGCATCCCATACATACACAGAAACACACCTTGCAGTCCTTACACATACAAACACAATTTCACACAATGCATTCCTTACACACATATCAGGACATCCCCTACACACTCCACCCCCTGTGAACAAACTCATTGGTGGAACATGAAGGTGGACCCTGGGACCCAGACCTTGAGCTGTGTAAAGGACCCCCAAAAAATGGAGCTGCTTCCCGTTCTCCCAGAACATTGATTTTTGTGACCACAGTTACAAACCGCCTCCAGAGAGCCTGTTCTGCACCAGACCAGTGGAGCCAGACTGCAGCTAGAGCCCATCATCATCCTCATCTGGTTGTAAGTAGGCAATCTAGTATATTATTCGTGGCACTAAGCTCTAATTTACCTCACATTAAAGAAACACTATAGTCCCCAGAACCACTTCAGCTTAATGTAGTGGTTCTGGTGTCTATAGCCTGTCCCTGCAGGCCTTTTAATGTAAACACGGCAGCACTGCAGCACTGGCGTTAGTTAACATGGCAAATCATATGGCTGGGGCATTGTGATGTCACATGGGGGGCGGCAAACTTTACTTTTGCCTTGGGCGGCAAAAATCCTTGTACCGGCCCTGGCTGGAGGGGGCTGTGTGAGCTGTGGCCGCACAGTGTCCCATGGTAGTTAGGGTGCCGTGCGGCCAGTACAGCTCACTCAAGCAAACAGCTGATAAACTGGCCGCACGGAGGAAATGTGTGATGTGTGACTGTCTGCCTGTAACTGAGTGTGTGACTGTCTGTCTGTAACTGAGTGTGTGACTGTGTCTGTAACTGAGTGTGTGACTGTCTGCCTGTAAATGTGTGTGTGGGGCTGCAGGGATTTTGTAGAAGGGGGTGGGGGTTTTGTATTGGGACAGGAGTCTTTATAAGGGGGGATAAGCAGGGGATTTGTGGAAGGGGGTTGCGGGGGTTTTGTAGATGGGGCAGTACAGGATTTGTAGAAGGGGCAGGACAGAGGTTTTGTAGGAGGGGCAGGGCAGGACAAGGGTTTTGTAGGAGGGGCTGACAGCGGTTTTGCAAAGTTTACAAATTGTAAAAATAAAAGAAATAAAACCTTTAACATTTTTTACAGGTTTTTTTTTTTTTTTTTTTTGGGGGGGGTGCCAAGCACAGGATCCGCCCCGGGTGCCAAATGCTCTAGGTACGCCCCTGCAGAGCATTGCCGCGGGTTAACACAGCAACACTGACAGGAGATCGCAAGACTTACCAAGTGGTCTGCAGCTTTACTCCCGGCAGAGCTGCAGACCAGAGAGCCGGAGCACTGGGGAGAGAGGGTGCCCACCGGACCACCAGGAAAATCCACAGGACCACCAGGGAAGGTATTTATGAACCCACTGTTACTGCCCCTCCAATCACCCCTACCCCTTTTCAAAGCCCCTACACTGTCACTGCCCTTCCACCTCCCCTTCACCCTGTGACTGCCCCTCCATGCACACATTTTGACACAGCCCCCCCTACCCTGTCACAACCCGCCAACCTGTCACAGTCCCCCCCTACCCTGTCACAACCCAACTTACTGGCTGTGGGATGACAGCCCCTCCACCCGGTCATCCCACTATATATATATATATATATATATATATATATATTGTGCTCAGAATTTATCTAATACGTAATGGAATGTAGAAGGAGAAGCAAAGTTGGTTGAGGTGTGCCGAAACCAACGTACGAGTAGGCCTGTAAAAGAGGGCAAAAAGAGGATTCAAAGAAAACACACTTTATGCAAGTTAAATACAGCGTGGGTACTGAAAGCTTGTAAGGATCTTTTACTCTGATTGAGGTATATATGTAACTGCGCTGAGGCTTATCCGTGGCCCCATCACTCAGTGATGTAGACTGGAGTGTAAGAGCTTGAAGCTGTTGATGCAGTGCTTTGTGACAGAAAGACCAGCGAAGGAAGCCATGATGTATCTTCTTCTTAATGGAAGGTTTAGACGTGGAGTAGTGGATTAGGACTGATAGTGTGTCGTTGACCTTGGAGACATAAAGCGGTGTGACAGCATAGGAGGTTTAAGTAAGATGCTTGATTTGTAGGTTTGGAGAAAGAGGAAAAAAAAAAAAAACTTATTGTAACTGCAAAAGTCTTGATTCAAGCAAACTCTAATTGTGACATGTACAATATACAAGGCCCTGACGTGAGTGATAGAGTAGTCGTGAAACTGCGTGAAGTGAGCACACCAGTGCGTGGTGAAATTGTGTGCTTAGTCCAAGATTAGCTTGTGGAATGGTGGTATCTTGGATGGTATGTAGTGGATCGTAGGGAGTGCCTGAAAGAAAACCTTAAATTGAGAGCGTGCAAAGTGAGCCTGTGTAGTCTTGTCTTACTGGTAGTGGCTGGAGATGGGATACCCCTGTGACTGAGCTCTGCTGACATTTTTTAAATGTACCAGTATCCCAGGTAACTGAGGGTAGAAGGGTGAGGGATTCCTTTGGAGACCCAGGCCTGACTGGCGTGCTGGGTATTTCGTCCAACAGCAAACCGATTATTGGGATGGATTCTCGTGACTTTCTGGAAAAGTAAATAATGATTTGGATAAGTAATGTGTCTTAGAGGTGTGGATGAGACCTTCGGAGAACTGGCCTGCTAGCTAGTGCCGAAGCGAAACATTTTTTTCTAGAACCAAGTTTATGCTTACGGTGAGGCCATGCTAGTGCCAAGTGGCGGAGAGAGGCTCTACCTATGATTTGGGCCGAGGGAATTTTGTGGCCACTTGAACGTGGTGGCAGGGTGTCGGCCTTTCGGTGACCATAAGAGATTCAAAACATGTGGCCGTAAATTGTGAAGCCCTAACTGTAGCCCTAAAGAAGGGCGAGTGAGGTAGCTAACTATGATTTGGTCGTGGGGCTGAAACTCCGTGTATGAGGTGGGGTGTAGACCTCGCGGGACCGTAGTATTACTTAGGATAGCTAAGGCCAGCGCCTAAGCCTCAATGCCAGTTCTCTAGCCTGATGGGGCTTGTCTCTTAGAATGGTGTGATATAACGTATGTAAGTATTGATATGTAGAACTGAATGACGAAAACCATGTACCATTAAATATGGTAGTAATACGTGGATTATGATAATGAGATTGTTGTTAACATTTGTGAGGAATCTTAGACCAGGTATGTTTTGAAGTTTAGAACCCACTTTGGTAGGTGGGGGGCTGTATGAGACCGTGGAGGCTGAATGAGGCCTCAAGGGAAAACATAAAATGGTAAACCTTCTTACCTGTTACCGAAATGCGGGATACTTGAAGAAAAGTATAAGTAGTAGCAAGGTGGTGTAGGTTTGTGTGATTGACGTTATAATCGCAGTGAGGAAACACAGATCTGGCCCGTTTGAAGTTTTAGAACCCACTTTGGGAGGTGTGGAGGCTGAATGAGGCCTCGAGGTAAAAGAGAACTGGTAAACCTTCTTACCTGATACACTAAAAAAACCTAAAAAACATATGCAGACTAAGTGTAAGGAACCAGTATATAACGACTTTTAAGGAACAGAGGTTTTTTAAAATTGTGCTAATGGTCTGTAATGAGCCTGGTGAAAAAGGACCGTAAGGCTTAACCTATGAGCGGAGACCTTAGTTGCGTAGAAGACTAATACATAAGGGAAAGTACAATAGACTAAGTCTCGGCAGGGTATGATAATGCCTGGAGGTGTACTTTAGAACAACTTATAAGAGAAAGTGGACCAACTGTGCCTTTAAGAAGATTTACCCTGTAAAAGATAATTATGGGACAACTATGTGACCATAGCGGAAAATTAGAAACACATTATTTAACCAGTGGTAACTTTAAGAGCCGTATAATAAAAACACATAAATACATATAGGATAAATAATGCGAGTGCTTAGATACGTGAAAACATAATTATGTACTATTACAGTAGATTAGTGAATTTAAACACTGTAGCCTCTTGTGTTCGGTAAACGAATGAACAGGAGAACTGTAACGAGAAAGAACTCCTGCGTTCGGCTAAATGGAGCATACAAAACAGATTTTTAAACGAAAGCCAATAGTACCTGTGGTCGGATTAACGAATAAACGGATGAAATAGTCGAACGTAAGTTCATTTAGTGCGGTCGGTAGTTAACTTATATGAAAATAAACGAGAGTGTGTACTTTGCGGTCGGCCGCATGAAGGCAGAAGTACACGAATGGTGTAAAAGCACGAATGGGTAAGTAATAAAGGGAGCCTATCCCCACGTTTTTAGGCCCGAATATGGGAAATAGCTGAACTCCATTTCCCACGTTTATGCTTTTCTTGGACGTACCCGTCTCGTGACCGGAAGCCGGGTAGCAAGTGGCGGAGTCGGGTAGAAGCCGGTGGACGGGCACGGAAGAAGGAGGCAGGAGCTGCTGGCGACGGACTGCTTGCTGGAGACAGCTTGAGACAGGACTTGGCAGGAACGACGAACCGGAAGTGCAGGTAACTATGGAGACGACAAACAGCTTGTACGACAAAGGTAAGTAGGGGGGTAGGGTTTATATAGGATCATAACCCCTCCCACAAATTCAGGCAAAATGGCCTTCCAACATATATACATACACACACACTGTCACCACATACACTATCACCATTCCCAAACACTTTCAGCCCCTACACACTGTCACCCCCTTCACCCAGCCAAACCTCACATTAAACCCTCCTAATCCTGTCACTCTCACCCCCTCCAACCATACCAAACTCACCTGCCCTTGCTTTACCACAATTACCCTATCACATTAACTCCCCCAATCCTGTCTGACTCCCCCTTCTCTTGCACTGTCGCACACAGTCCCCAACCCTGTCACACATCCTCTATCAGTCTGTCCCAATTACCCCCTTCACCCTGCCACACACACCTTACCATAGAAGCGCCTCCAATCCTGTCAGGTGTTTTTAGTTTCAATTTGAAATTCAATTTAAATTCCTGGCAAATCTCACTTTAGTTAATAACCCTGCTAGTTCATGCATTTTTATTTATTTATTTTTGTTGTGCACATCCAATCCACCACACCAGCGCGATCAGGAAAACAAAGGCAACAACAGTGGCAGAAAACTGCACATTTTTTGATAATATAGAAACAGCTAGACTAATGTCTATACTTACATTAATAGTGAGTGAAGTGGAAGTCTGAGGTAAATAGACATGCACAATTCAGAGAGATAATTGTAGAGAACAGAGAGCATGATATAAACTGGTTGTAAATGAAGACATGGCAATTAAGATTACTGTATGACATACTAGATATGTATACAGAAGTTTAAGCCACTAGAAATAAAATAAAATTATGCTGCCGTGCCTCAAAAAATTTAATTAAAAAATACCATCAAAAATAACTATTTGTGGGACAGAAAAGATAGGTATGCCACAAGATGGCGTCTACCCTTAGCAGGTGAGAATGTTACCTAGGCATTGGGCCAGAGGATAGGTTCAGTCGACTCCTATAAACAGCAAGGTGAAGGTGTTAGCAAGACAGGCATTTTGTGAGACCGTGATTCTGCGCTTCTCCAACTCAAGACCCTCACAAGGCCCAACTTCACTGCTCCCCAGACTCGGAGGCTCACGATGACCAAGTCCCTCCTCAACTTGGGATACTCTGAGGATCCAAGCAGATGGTATCGCCTCCAGCGGATATTCGTGAACACTGTGAAGAGGTAGGCCCTTTAGTAGCACTCTGTCTAGGCTAATGAGTGTGTGGCCATGTAGAAGCTTGTTGCCCAGAGTGTGTTTTCCCGCCCTCTGCTACTCGCAACTCCCATCTGGAGTCTGCTCAGGTTAGCCTCCTCACGCTGTTGAATCTGCATCCAAAAGCACTGGACAATTTCCTTTTGCCCCACTAGGTCATGATCTAGGGTGCCATGTTGAGCTCTGTGGTGTATGTTCAACTGAAACGTGCTTAGAGGAGGCGCATCCGCCATCCTAGGTCACAGAGTATTACTCTAGTAACGTCTGGAATTGTGAGGTTGGTACAGCAGAGATATGTTGCTGTCCAGTGGGGCCCGGGATTCCCCCCGCCGGTCCAAAGGGGATGGGGGTACAAGGTCAGCAGGGCTGCATAGTGGACTTAGGGATGAGAAGAGTGTCCGCCTCTTCCCTTCTCCATCAGGCCACAGCTACAAGTTTTGGGCTCCCAGTGGCTTACAGACTTAAAGGACCACTATAGTGCCAGGAAAACATACTCGTTTTCCTGGCACTATAGTGCCCTGAGGGTGCCCCCACCCTCAGGGACCCCCTCCCGCCCGGCTCTGGAAGGGGGAAAGGGGTTAAATCTTACCTTTTTCCAGCGCCGGGCGGGGAGCTCTCCTCCTCCTCTCCACCTCTTCGGCTGAATGCGCATGCGCGGCAGGAGCTGCGCGCGCATTCAGCCTGTCTCATAGGAAAGCATTTACAATGCTTTCCTATGGACGCGCTCTCACTGTGATTTTCACAGTGAGAAGCACGCAAGCGCCTCTAGTGGCTGTCAATGAGACAGCCACTAGAGGATTAGGGGGAAGGCTTAACCCATTCATAATTAGCAGTTTCTCTGAAACTGCTATAATTATGAAAAAATGGGTTAACCCTAGAAGGACCTGGCACCCAGACCACTTCATTAAGCTGAAGTGGTCTGGGTGCCTAGAGTGGTCCTTTAAGGGAGGTCTCAATCTAGTCGCCTTTACACCCCAGATGTGGGTAGTGTACTTTGGTTGGTATGTCAATTGCATGACCAAAAAAATTATCCTAAGATTAGGTGAAAAAACAGGAGCTAATGCAGCACACGTCTAAACAGCTCACATTTCAGGCTCCGCCGCCCAGTTCATGCATTTTCATTCTGCAGGACATAATTTTAGCCTCATTTTTTTTGCTTTAAAAAAATATATGAAGAACACATTCTATTGTTTAATAGTTTAATTTTTACCATTGAAATCAGTTTCAGAACAACAAGTAGGTTCAACAAGATTTGAAGTTTATCAAATAAGAAGCTGGTGAATAAGATTCCAACTTCCAGATTGATTCTCTTTTCCCCATATGTCGGCAATACAAGGGCCAACAAGCACAGATAAACCCTATTAATAGACACCTTTTTTTTTTTTTCTTTTAAAAAGCAAACCTGCTACTTTTTTTTCCAGGAATCCTGCACCTTACCATGTCAAAGCACACCATCCGTTTGGCCCATCCCAAACGTGTATTTATACTTCTCAGTGTTTGAAGGTATGCATTGTTTTGTTTTGTTTTGATTTTTTACCTTTGGTGATGATTAAAGCCCAGAAAGTGAGTGAAAGGGGCTTAACATAAGAGCCTACTAATCTTAGGGTTGCTCCATAAGCAAAGCTCACGCTTTTTAGTATGCCCTTTCAAACTTCACTTCCTCCCTATTTTTTTTTCCAAAATACTGCTGTGCATATTTCATGTAGTAGAAAACGGATAAATGAACCAAAAATAATAAACTAAATTGAATTACAACTATATGCTTTTAGTATGGGTTTCACAACCAAGTTTTAAAAATTATCAAATTTGAATGAATTGGTTAAATTATTTTATTTGTAAACAGAATTGTGTGCCAGCATTTACATTTACATTGTTTCCTAGGGATTTATGTCATCACTATACAGAAACTGGAAATGTATTTACATGCACGTATTGCTGTATTTTTTAAACAAACTTTTCCTATTCTTTTTATTGAGATTACATAATTGTGTGCCTCTCATGCGGATACAGATACTGTCTAGTGAATATACATTAGGCACTAGATGTCTTCTACTAAGTATAATGTATGTAAGTTGATCAGGAGGTGATCTGTGTAAACTAAGAAGCTGTGAAAGAAGCATAGAATGGTGGTCTGTTTTACTGACCTAGTTAAAGGAACACAATGGCATTAGAAATACAAATCTGTTTTCCTAATGCTGTAGTGTTCTTGATCCTACTCTTATTCTGGTCCCCTCCACCCCCGAGTGCATTCAAATAAAAAAAATGACTTACCTTACTTTTTTCCAGCACAGAAGCTCCTTCAATGCTGCTGACCTCTTCACCTCTTCTCCACCGATGTCCAATCCAATACTCATCATAGAGGAGCATTTGGGCCTAATGAGCATACGCAGAGACCGCGGCAAACAAATTCAAACTTCCCCATATGCATTGCATCAGTGTTGCGCAAGCGCTTATAGTGGCTGTCATACTGACAGCCACTATAGGTGAACTAAAAGCACCACTCAATACCCATAAACCACTTCAACTTATGAAAGTTGTGATTTCTCATAGAAATCAGCACTTTTATAAACTAATAGGATACTCTCCCCCCCCTAAAGCACTTCAGGTTGTTGAAGTGCATTATGGGAATAAAGTATGCCATGTTAACCCCAGTTCAGAAAAGTGCAAATTTCTATGAGAAATTATTGATTCCCCCCATGCCCCCCAACACCTGTCTGATTGAGCTAAGAGAATGGGCAGGCATTCTCTACTTGAGCGTGTCTGCGTCCTCCTACATACCCCTTTCTCAGACCCCAGCTCAGAGTTCAGTGCAGTGCACAAGCTGACGTGCACAATCAGCCGCCCACGTGTGCACAGCAGGAGAGCTTCAGGGGCTTCTCAATGACAGACTATTTCCTTATGAAGAGACCGTTAGTCTCTTCTGAGGAAAAAGGGGAGGGCTTGTTAAGGCTTTTGTAAACTCTTTTACAGTATACCCTCAATGAATACATCTATGAACAACTTATTCATGTATTCATTGTAATTATATCTACTGAACAGTGATTTATACTTTTTTGCCCATTTTGGCAGTTGAGTGTCCCTTTTAACCCTACAATAGAGCTTATTAAAAAAATGCAAAGTTTTACATTGCAGTATTAAAAGGACAGAGATATTGTGCTCAGACCACTTCATTATGATTAAATGGTCTGAGTGACTATAGTGTCTTCCTGGCATTATAGTGCCCTGAGGGTGCCCCCACCCTCAGGGTCCCACTCCCGCCGGGCTGAAGGGGAGGAAGGGGGTTAAACATTCACCTTTCTCCAGCACCAGGATCCCTCGGCGCTGGGGACTCTCCTCCCTCTTCTGTCATCAGCAGAATGCGCGGCAAGAGCTGCGTGCGCATTCAGCCAGTCCATTCTCAATGCTTTCCTATGGACTCTGGCGTCTTCTCACTGTGAAAATCACAGTGAGAAGCGCGGAAGCGCCTCTAGCGGCTGTCAATGAGACAGCCACTAGAGGCTGGATTAACCCTAAAGTAAACATAGCTTTTTTTTTTTTTTTCTTGAAACTGCTATGTTTACAGCAGGCAGGGTTAATCCTAGATGGACCTGGCACCCAGACCACTTCATTGAGCTGAAGTGGTCTGGGTGCCTATAGTGGTCCTTTTAAGTGTAGGAACGAAAATATGTGATTCATGATGAGTGGTTAATTTACTAAAGGAACAATATAAAATTATATAAGATAGCAGCAGTTTTGAGACAGAGGTGGATTGGCATGATAGAATTTTTACGTTAGATTTCATATTTTTATGAAATAATATACTAGGAGGTTTATGTGATTACTTGTTGATCTGCTAAATCTACCAATGCAATAGCCCTCATAAAATCATACCGTTAATCTGTACATTGTATCACTTTGGAAGTAAAGCAACTTGTAGACAGTATCCACAATATCTACATTCATTATTTATTTCAGTCACCTTCCTGTGACCAACACTACTCTTGTGCATTCTCATGACAGGAATGTACAAACACAGATGGGATTAATTCATGTCTGTAATAATGTTTTGCGGGGAGTGGACAACTTTTGGTCTTTGTTGCTCACTTAGCATTTATATAGCACCAATAATTATAAAAGGGTAGAGGTAAGGAAGGCCCTGCTCAAACAAGCTTACAAACTATGAGGATTTTGAGGTAGGCAGATATACATAATTTCGTGTCTTACCCAAGGACACTTTCTTGTAAGGTGGTCTGACCGGGATTCAAACATGAGTTTTTCAATGTTACCACTGCTCTAACCAGCAGATAGAACACACAGACAAGATAATCACATATTTACAGATTGAAATCCACATAAACACAAAACAAGCATAACAAAACAATCTTATTTAATATACTTAAAGGAACACTTCAATCGTCATAACAACTTAATCTAAATGACGTTTTATGGTACCAGGAGGGCCCCGGGTGCACTCTTACCTTAAGGTGTTAAATCGTTCTAAAACAAATGAATCCAGTTATTTGGCTCCAGCACCAATCTCCAGGTCCCCCAGGTGACATCCGGCTTCTGAATCTCAGCTAACCCCTCTTTCCAATCAGTGGTGCCTTGTTCAGTGGCACTCCGCACTTCCTGTAACTGAGATTCAAAAGCCAAATGCCACCTGGGGGGACCTGGAGATTGGCACCGGATGCAACTTTTTGGAGTTAAACCGTTCAAGAACGGCTTAACCCCTTAGGTAAGAGTGTGCCCTGGGGTCTCGTTGCACCGTAACAACTTAATTTAGATTAAGTTGTTATGGTGACCGGAGTGTCCCTTTAAATGCTTTTTCAAATTTCTCATTAGGTATTTCCTACTTACAGTATCATAAAATTAAAAATGGTCATCAGTTGAGGTATTGGCAAGCTAAAATTTTTCATTTTGACTTAATGTAAAATACTTTATGTGTTTTATTATTAAAAGATTTGTATTAAACCTGGTTTCTAAACAGCAAAACTAAATATCAGATCTTCAGTATAAGATGCTTTTTTTGGTTTTAATGGATTGCAAAATTAGAAATCGAGATTCAAAAAATGACTCTTGCAAGTTCAAACATGACCTGAAATGAGTAAAAAGTATATATTAAAACACAGAAAGAGTTTATAATAAAGTGACCCTTTTATCTAGAAAACATTACAGCGAATACCAGAGTCAGCTATAGGCAGGCAATAGCAAGCTACAGGTATACAATATGCAGACATGTACTGTGGAAGTGTGAGGGAACACTGCTATATGAGCACCAAAATGGCACTTTCAGTGTTCCCTGACTAGAGGGGTTTAGAAATCAGGCTGCTCTAGAACACTTATTAGGGAGCTACATAAACCCTATGCAGAGGGTTAGGAGGTTTTAAAAGGCTTATTACAAGTTAGTGCTGTGCAGCAAGAGACCAGTCAAATCCTGTAAGAAAGCAACCGCTTGCTGACAGCACAACTTACTGCAGTGGTAGAGGGACAACTTGCTAACCATAGTATATTTAAAGAGATAATAGTACACAGTCTCTCAAAACCTGACAAAGAAGAGCCCAGAGGTGTCTCAAAGTCTCTCCAGGCAAACCAGTATATATAAAAGATGACTCCCCATGATGATGTGGAAGCTGGTAGAGGCCCAAAAAGCACAAGTTGATCTGGAGGAAGAGCCTGCCGCTAACTATGACTGCCTTAAACTGAGATTCTAGCCAGACACCTGCAGTCAGGGCCCAAGGATATTACAGTGGGACATATCAAGATCAAAAGGCCCTAAGAACCCAACTGTTTGACTTAATGCATCTGGCAAATAAATGGCTAACCACAGCACAGATAATTGGGACCCTGGTTCTGGACAAATTTCTTAAGAGTTTCATCACTTGGATTACTCTAATAGGAAGGACAGGGCAATCCTACCACCTACGATGAGATGGTGACTGTAACGAACGCTGGTATACTAAAAATGTAATATATATGTTGGAGTACCCATGCGGATTTCAATATATTGGTATGACTACAAGATGCTTGAAGATTAGACTAGCAGAGTATTGTCGCAACATTATCAAAGGATACGAAAATCATTCAGTGTCCAAACATTTTATTATACACAAAAAAAATCTTAGATTACTAAAAAGTATTGGAATTGAAAAATGTGATATCCTCTGGAGAGGTGGAGACATAAGAAAAATCTTAGGCAAAAAAGAAATTATGTTGGTCTAACAGCTAAAAACTCTCTCTCCAGATGGTCTCAATGCAGAATTCGATCTTTTAAAATTTTCTGTGATTTAAAAAAATATATATTTAATTTAAATTTTATATTCTATTCTTACATTTTATTATTCATTTTTTATTTTTTCCTGCATTTTTATTGTTATTTGTACTGCTACACTCCTACTACACTCCTTTGATCATTAATATTCTTTATATCCATTAAGATTTTTCTCTAGTAATATGCTATATTAAAAATGGGCTGTTATTTCTGTCCTCTACTAAGATGTCTTCCTTTTGCCATCTACCTCACCTGTTCCCCTTTCAAGATGTCGTCAGGATCTGCCTTATCGATCAGAATAAGGTAGGCCACGCCACCTATCCTTACGTGTGTTTTAGAGAAACATTTTTCCTTTATATATACATAACCCCCATGGTAATATCTTGCTATCCCCTCCTATTAGTGTGAGTGGGTCCTATTAATAATATAACTTTCAGGTGTATATGGCACTATAAACTACATGTCTCGAAATCCTAGTCATGGGATGTGTACAAACACAAGCATGTCCCACGACCTGCCTCCTCCATTTTTTTTTACTATGGAGCCACAACCTTCAAACCATGCTGGGCACTCAACTCCCATAAGGAATTGCGGCCGACCACGTGACCAAATACATCACTATCCATGCGTGTCACGTGGTCGGACCGAGCAAATTAACAATACAAAGTACACACAATCTTTGTTTTTAATTCACAAACATACTTTTTAGAAGTATTTCCAAAAAATATTGTTATCTCAATCCATTTAATGTGTTTTGTAAGTTATTCCACTATTTTGTGTTTCATGCTTTGTGCTCTCTATTATTGAGCCACCACTTCCAAACCATGCTGCCGTTCACATGACGCAATACGTCAATATCCATGCGTATCACGTGGTCGAACCGAGAATAACTACAAAACCATGTACATACAATTCTAAACTTTATTTTTAACCTACAAACATCTTTTTTAATAAATAGTTATTTTTATGTACAAAGAAAACAGGTATGGTCACTCACAGCAGACAAAATAAGTGGGTGGTGAAAACAAACACTTATCTTAATAGACAGTGGTAACCGCTTCCTTCAGGGATATCCCAGCATAATTAGTTATAATAGTTATTTTTTATTTTATTTTAAGTTATTTTTATCAATTTCATTTGTTTTGTAATGCATATCACAATTCTGTGTTTTATGCAGATGACGTCACTATGGCTCCAAGATTCAATGTGTAATTGATTGCATTGCCTATATATACCCTTATGTACCAGGTTCATGTTTTTAATGCCATTTGAAAAAGCCCTGTGTTGGCGAAATGCATTTTGGCTATTTTTATAATTTCAGTTTGTATTAATAAAGTAATATTGGCCTTCTTACCATTCCTGTGCCATATTTCTTTTTTTTATTTTTTTATTTTTTTTTTACCAATAATTTTTTATTTTATTTTAACCTGGTCTCCAAGAATCCACACAGATGTACTTACTAAAGAATCCCAGGTGGGGATTATACCACCTACGCCTATATAAGTGAGCAGTACTACCTTTTATTATATTTAAAAGAAAAATAAGTTTTTACACAAAGAGCACTATTTCTGCCCTATGTCTTTACCTTACCGGTACATCTCTACCCTGAGGAATCAACCTAAATATACCATCACCTATATCCTACCAGTGGGGGGAATCAACGCTACTGAATGCCAATCATACCTGAGCTCAAAAATAGGTTAGTGTGATTATATCATATTCCACACTTCCTAACGTACCTGTGACATACTTCACCATTTGAGTTATTTTTCTTTTTATGTCCTAATCGGATCAACAGAGACAGCACTATATCAAGACCTTCACGATACAGATCTAGACCAGTATCTCAAATACTGGACTTATTATTTATCATTTTGGACTATAACTAATCTGTTTGGCTTCTTACTGCAAGTACAATTTTTATAATTTTTATATTTGAAAAAAAAAATAATTGTTGTGCAACCTAACATCTATCCGATTGTATACCATTCTTCTCCTTGCCCATCTCGTAAATATTTTCTAGTTGGCCACTAAGCGCTGATCCATCTATTGTTCGTTTACCCATTCGTTCACTTCCTCCCGAACGGCTAGCTACGTTGTAATTATAGCTCGCATTTTGGGTGTCTATTCGTACGTTCTCCAGAGGAAAATACAGCATACATATAAATCTAATGGGTATTCAGATGCATACCCAAACATCAGCCTAGACTAGATGAAGGGTACAACAGGAATGTTTTAATCAGGCCAGATGGCCAGCTTTTATGCAAGTCAAGGGCACATTATACACACCCACAGAAGCTCCCACAACACGCCCCTTAAATTACTGATTCACAATGACTCCACATAAAATACAAAATATAAAAAGTACATAATTCACATAAATATTATAGGGACCCCCATAAATGTCATATCCCCGGATAGCCTGGATCTGAGCGCCCAAGTTATCCAAATAGCGTTCAGATCCCACGAATAGAAATCGGGGTAAAGATTTGACCAACCGCTCTTGAGGTGCTTGCCTAAAATAGTTCCACAGTTTCAAGGGTAGCGGTTGGACAATTTCGGGAGTCCCAAACCAAACAAATCCACGAACGGTTCCCCTGGCTCATTGGTAGCATTTGTTTACCGGGTTCGTGCGAACAAACCTACCGAACTTAATGAGCCAGGGAGTGGTCGGTGTTAGGTAGATTAATATACCGAACCAAAGAAAATAAAGAATGGGAACCAAAATATGTAGTTTCTTCACAGTGACAATAGTGGAACGCGATATAGCTGTAACAGTACTAAGCCAAAAAAAGTAAGTTGAAGGTACCCCAACACACAAAGACCTGGGGGTCAGATCAACCGCTGCCATCTGGATGTGGAAGTTTGGGTCCCGATGAACTCCGCCAGAGCTTCAAGGAATCCCAATTCTGACACCACGTTTAGCAGGCTGCCGTTCTTTCTTCCAATATGAGGGAAGCTTTATATAGCAAGCAGGGCCTTACTTTAGCCACAACAAAACATTGAACAAAAAATCGTACTCTGCTCTGGAGAATAACTAAAATAGAGTACCCTCTCTATGCTACTGGGTCGCTAAGCAGACCCCAGTGGTTTAACAAAACAAAAGGCTTGCAAAATACCTTTTGTTGCTATACTGGTTAAGCAGTCTCTTAGTCTCTTTGCCTCTCAGCCTCACAGTTTCTGCCCCATCTGATTCCCCCTGCATAGGGTTTATGTAGCTCCCTAATTAGTGTTCTAGAGCAGCCTGATTTTAAACCCCCTCTAGTCAGGGAACACTGAAAGTGCCATTCTGGTGCTAATATAGCGGTGTTCCCTCACACTGCCACAGTAAATATAATTATATCATAACATTGGAAATCTGGGGAGGGGGAGGAGTGGGAGGAGGGGGAAGGAAGGGAGGGAGGGACAAACAAAACTAGACATATAACTAACCACATAATCTACACTAACACAAACTGATCTTTGACTCTCTACTGCCAAGCAAAAGGTGAAGTGCCTTTCGATAATAAACAGTCAAGCCTGTTGACATACGTTACCTCGATAGTAATAAGTATAACAATCATCCATTCCAATCGTAATCCACGCTTCTCACTTAGATGATTACGCATTAAGTCTGTCAGTTCTGTACAATGTTGCAATTTTTCATTGATTACCTGGAACATAAAATAAGTTAATTAATGGAAAATGTTAATATTCTTGTGCTTGTATAGCATGTTTATCCCGTGTGCAAGCATTAAAGGAACACTATAGTCACCTAAACAATTTAAGCTTAATGAAGCAGTTTTAGTGTATAGATAATGCATCTCAGGCTGTACTGCTCAATTCACTGCCATTTAGGAGTTAAATCACTTTGTTTCTGTTTATGCAACCCTTGCCACACCTCCCCTTGCTATGATTGACACAGACTGCATGAAAACGCTGGTTTCACTTTCAATCAGATGTAATTTACCTTACAATTTTTATCTCCTGCTCTGTAAATTGAACTTTAATCACATACGGGAGACTCTTACAGGGTCTAGCAAGCTATTAACATAGCAGGGGATAAGACAATCTAAATTAAACATAACTTTCAATAAAGAAAGGATCAACTTTAGATCACTCTTTACATTAAGAGTTTAGGAAGGCTGTGGAAGTCACATGCAGGGAGATGTGATTAGGGTTCATAAACAAAGTGATTTAACTCCAAAATGGCAGAGAATTGAGCAGTGAGGCTGCAGGGGCATGTTCTATACACCAAAACTGCTTCATTAAGCTAAAGTTGTTTTGGTGACTATAGTGTCCTTTTAAAGAACTTTATAAAATAACATTATGGAAAGCCATAATATAAAACCAACAAAAATGCTACTGGCTTAACTCAAAAAGACAAGAATCCTTCCTATCACACACAAGTTACGGATACCGATATACATGCAATATAATACTGGCAAATACTGATTTTTAAAGTGCAAAATTCCCCCATGAAATATTTTTTTTCTTGGGGAGCACACACACCTTGACCCTGCGGTTGATGCTGAGAAACTGGTAAGTCTTATCATAAAGATGTTCCAGGCTCTCTCTGTCCCAGTAGAAGTCAGGCGTGATAAGAAGGTCTGAACTCAAATTTATACGATGTCTGAAAGAGAAGACACTCATGGTCGATTTCTTTCTGTACATGCTCTCTCTGTTTTTTGGTTTTTTTTGTGAAACAAAATAAATAAATAAAGCATTGGGCAAAGTTCTTTGAGCCCTATGAATAGAGATTTAGAGATTGGGCATTCATTGGGCAAACATCATATTCGTTTGATAGGGTTTGACCTTATTAATTTCTGTATTTCTATACAAGTGATCTCTTTTTTTAATTCTCAACCTGGCTACAGACAGTCAAACACACTACAAGTGATATCCTTACTATATGTCTTCCATGGTGTCCTCTCCTATTCTCCTTCTAATGCATGCTGCTATGCAGTTTAGAGCACTCTGTGTAGTAACTTTTAATGTCTGAGCTATGTATATACCTTAAATAAGGAAGTATTTGTCTTGAGTGAGGAGGTTTGGCAAAGCAGGCAGGCTTATGATTGCAGCATTCTGCAAAAAATAGTTTTTTTCATGAAAAAAATTATTTTGAGCATGTACAAAAATAACAGCAACCCTCACAGGGGACTCACACCTACTGCACCATATGGCTTATTGTTTTGATATTGCAATGGAGACCTGCGAGTCTCACTGTCTATCCCTAGGAATAAGCGTATCCCATCTTTTCGATAAGTTTTTTTCATCCTGCGTCATACTAAGGGGGTCGGGGGTCGGTCCGCCGTGGGTGCCACCAGGTAGGGGGGTGCCATAAACCTGGTCCGGGTGCTGGAGGAGGATGTGTGAGCTGTGGGGCCGCACAGTGCCCCATGGCAACTGGGGTGCCAGGCGGCCGGCACAGCTCACACACGCAGAGACCAGCAAGTACCAGCTGAACTGGCCACACGGAAGGAAAGTGGGGCGGAGCTAATAAAAGTCTGGGGGCAGAGCCAAACTGTCATCGGGGGTGGGGCTTAACACAGCACTTACCCGCTGCTGTTACTGCTGCACATGGAGGTGAAGCAAGAAGGAATCCCTGCTTCTCCAACTAACAGGCTCCAGGGAAGGACTTCAGTGATTCTGCTCCTCTAGCCCATACTGTCTGTAAGTAAGAGTGTGTGTGTGTGTGTGTGCGCGTGTGTCTGTCTGTCTACCTGCATGTAACTGTGTGTGTGTTTTTTATGACTGCCTGTGGCTATGTGTGTGTGTGTGTGAGACTGTCTGCCTGCCTGTAACAGTGTGTGTGTGTGTGACTGCGACGACCTGTCTGCTTGTGACTGTGTGATGCTGACTGTAACTGCGTGTCTGTATATGTGACTGTCTGCCTGTAACTGTGTGCATGACTGTCTGGCTACGTCTGTGTGTGACTACCTGTAACTGACTGTGTGTGCAACTGTCTGCCTATAACTATGTGATGTTGCCTGTAACCGTGTGTGTGACAGTCTGTGACTGTGTGCGTGTGACTGTGTGATGCTGCCTGTAACTGTGTGTATGTGACTTTAAGTGTGTGTATGAGTGACTGTCTGGTTATGACTGTGTGCGTGACTGTCTGCATTTGACTGTGTGCGTGTGACTGTCTGTCTGTAACTGTGTGGGACTGTCTGCCTGTAACGGTGTGTGTGGGGTGCAGGGATTTTGTAGAAGGGTGCAGGGGTTTTGTATTGGGATAGGGGTCTTCTATAAGGGAGGCTGGGCAGGGGTTTTGTAGAAGGGGATAGTACAGGAGTTTGTAGAAGGGGGCAGGACGGGGGTTTTGTAAGAGAGGGGCAGGATAGGGGATTTGTAGAAGGAACTGACAGGGGTTTTACAAAGTTTATAAATGTGTGCAATATATATTTAAAAAAAGGAAAAATGAAAAAAAAATTGCAGGTGATTTATTTAATTTGTTTGGAGGGGGTGCCAAACATAGGATCCTCCCGGGTGCCAAATGCTCTAGGTACGCCCCTGCCTGCATGTACTGCTATGTTCCACACTTTTGCTGAATGTGCTTAACTATACATATATTGGTGGGGAGGGGGAGGAAGCTAATTCTAATAACCAGAAATTTACAAGGGGGAAGGAAGATAAAGACAAAAACTGAGCTTATTAGGCCAAGCAAAGGGAACCAGTATGGTAATATAAGCGACAATGGGGGACCAGGGAACCTATATATAAAGATGTTCACAGTTTTATGTTTACTATTCTGGGACCTATGAATCCATCTTATACTTGAAAATAGGGACCTGCGCGTCTCTGCAATAAAACTTTTGTATCTCATTCCAAACTAATATACTGAAGATATGGGAGACCTGCGAGACTCACTGTTATATTTCTCTTCTAAAAATGAAAACTTAAAGGGACACTATAGTCACCAGTGCAACTACATGTATTCCTGACCCTATAGTATTAACACCACCATCTAGCCCCCCTGGGCCCATCATCCCTCCATAAATATAGTAAAAATCTTACTGTATTCAAGCCAGAAGCTGTAAATCTGCATGTTGTTAGACTCAGGAAAAACAAGCAGTCTGCTGACATGCAATAGCCTGATCCAATCGCAGTGCTTCCCCATAGGATTGGCTGAGGCTGACAAGGAGGCAGATCAGGGGCACAGCCAGCATGATTCAAACACAGCCCTGGACAATCAGCATCTCCTCATAGAGATACATTGAATCAATGAATCTCTATGAGGAAAGTTCATTGTCTGCATGCAGTGGGAAGAGATAATGAATCACAGGATGCTCGTGCACAGCAGATCTGAGTGGATGGAGGCATATTATGCCTCCATCAACTAAGAAGTCCCTCTGGTTCACTCTGAGTGACTGCAACTGGAGGTGTTCCTAGCTTTCAATGTAAACACTGTATTTTTTCAGAAAATACAGTGTTTACGTGAGAAAGGCTGCAGGGAGCTATAGTTCTCACCTGAACAACCTCATTAAGCTAAAGTTGTTCAGGTGACTATAGTGTCCCTTTAATTAAAAGATATTTACAAAAAATAAATAAAAAATAGCATTTTATTGAGGCCACAGCCTGTCAACTAAATTAAGCTGTATTGGTGCCCGGAGGGTCCCTTTTAAGATGATGAATCTGTCTCAGGTGACTTTACACCCATCACCTAGTCCTAGTGTGAGACCTACAGATCAAGAGCACCCTAAACTGATTCTATTGTAATGCTACCAAGGATGTTTGTCACCAAGCAGTAAAATGAAACACACTGAAAACCAAATTGTAAAATTTAGATTAAAATAGCTAAAATAAATAAATAAAAAAAATCTCTAGCTCGGTTCTTTTCCAACATGACTATTGTAGCTGAGCTGTCATCATTCAGTTTACAACTTACTGCATGATGTATAAACACAATGGTTCTAACACATACACTATAGACAACATGTAGAAATGGGAGAAACTCAATGGAAATTCTGGTCCTTCCACTTTATGCCACTTTCCCGGTCTTGGATATATTGGCAGAAAAAACAATGTTCTACCATTTACAAACGCTTGGACAGGCATGAGGATTGACATAAATATGTTCAATATTGTAACATGAAAGTTAAAATAAAAGATAAAATGTTTCACCTTAATGCAAATAATTCCCCGATTTTCTGCATTACATCCTCATGCGATAGATTAATCTTTTTTCTTGCTTTTAACATCTGTTAAATGTAGAGATGGAATTCATTTGAAATTCTTCATATCAGAGAGCATTAAGCCTAGATATATACAAACAGACATTAAAATGAGCTAGTATTGGCTCATGAGAATTTAATAAGGTTTGTGAAAAAAAACACCTGTGTTAATTTCACAAACACGTACTAAATGCAGGAGAGAAAGAGTGGAGGAGAATAGTTATGGATTATAAAGAGAAAATGTGAGAGGGGTGTAAGGGAGAATTAATGAAGTCAGGAGAACAGAACAAGACAGAGAAAGGTTCAGTTAAAAGGGCAGTATAGACTTGCCTCGGGTATTGATTGAATTGACTCAACAAAGGTGTCAAGGGTAGCCTCCCAGATGGCCAGTTTCACTGCCAAAACAAAATAAACCCATTACATCATATAAGACATGATCATTTAGTTATTTTAATTATAAGCATCGAATTACATTTAACAGTATTTTTACTGAGCTACACCCATCAAATAGGTTTTATTTTATTTACATCTTGATGCCATCCTTATAGAGATACATATTCCCTTTCATTACATTATTTGCACACAAAATACATTATGAATGTGAGATCTCATTAGTTACACATCTATTTGCAGCAAAACATTTAGGAGTCTCTTCAATAAAAATCTGAATTTTAGAGAGATGGCGTCCGATTGGCAACATTTATACTACAATAGCTGAGCTGCAAAAAAAAGTCACCAATTCTGCTATAGACACAGCTTGACTATTGTAGCCTCAGTTTTGTCTTTTTTTTTTTTTAAATTAAATTCGTTATAATTCAGAATTTAGTAAATCAACCCCTTGCTATTCATTAGATTTGCTAACAATTTAGCTCTTTCAAGCTTCCAAATGATACTCACCAGAAAGACAAAGTGCATTGGAAAATGCAAACTTCTCTAAGATTGCATTATCTGCTTCTAAGAGGGAACTCAGCAGAATTTCACCATTCACCAACTTCGAGTGACCCCTGCAAGACATGTTTGGGAAAAAAATAATATATTTTTTACATTTTATAGAAATTGTAAGGCAATATTGCTCAAAAAAGTTTAAATATTAATATTAGTTTTTTTTAAGCAATATTAATACTATTAATACTAGATTGACATTGATCTTACTTTAGAGCTCTAGTTGTATTGGATCTTACTTTAGAGCTCTAGTTGTCTTGGGCCTGGTACTTTCCACAATACTTACAAACATGGTCCTGTATTTTTCTCCTGCATATAAAGTAATTGTGTTCCTTTTATGTTGGTAGGAATATTTGTATCTATACAAATAGCCGCTCCCCTGGGCATGCACAGAGTTTTTAAGTGGCACTGTTACGTTGCAGGGTTTTGGGTTGTTTTTTTTTTGCCCATCTATTCCCTCTTATTTTTTGAAAGGCACCTTAGTTTTTTATGCATAAAGAAAGGTTGGGGCATTATCGTTCTTAGAAAAATTTCAATACCACCAACTACAGCTTTTTGTCCAATCGATAAACCCAAAGCAGAATCTCAGTAGAACCCCAACACAGTTCGAGGATCTTTGCTTACGCAGCAAGTCCATAGCCAGGGGTGTCTCTATGCTATACCAAATGCTGCTTTCAGCAACAAGTCCCCACTTACCCCCATACATCTCTAAATGTGAGGAAGAACTGAGAGTGATCTTGACCGAATTGCAATGGTCAAAAATAATGTCAGTGACACACCACGAGCGCTGTATCTAGTGCAAGGCTGACAGGCATTTGCCTTGGGTGGCACTTTCAGGGGGGCGGCTTTTTGCCTCTTATCCTGGGGGGCCGAGGCTGGGCGCTAATGTTTCATGTGCGCAGCGAGGGATTAAAAATTTTTTTGAATTATTTACGATGTCTGTGATCCCCTGGTGCTGTCAATACATTAATTGTTAAACCATTTTCAAGCAGTTTGACACTAATTAAGGGTCCCTGGCAGCACACAACTAGGCATTCACTGGAAATATGGATAAGGAAGGGATTACACACTTCCTTCTAGCCATACCAATTCATACCTGCAATGAGTACTGTGATAGGCTGAATGTGGCCAGTCAATGCTTGCTTATTAGTCCAAGCAGCACATAGGGGATAGGTTGTGGGGAGCTCACATTTAGCATCAAAGGTACACCTTACACAACAACTGTGGTTTATGAAGCAGTTATGAAGCAGTTTTAGTATGTAGATCATGCCCTCTGTAGTCACTGCTCAATTCTCTGCCTTTCAGGAGTTAAAGGAGCACTGTATGGTCAGGAACACAAACATGTATTCCTGACCCTATAGTGTTAAAACCATCATCTAGCCCCCCTGACTCCCTCTTGCCACCCTAAATATTGTAAAATGTTACTTGTCTTCAAGTTTGCAGCTGCTACTTCTGCCCCTGTTTGCCTCTGAAACTGCCTGTGTCTGCTGACATCATCAGAAGCGGTAATCTGAGCCAATCACAATGCTTCCCCATAGGATTGGCTGAGACTGTCAAGGAGGCGGCAGATCAGGGGCAGAGCCAGCACAAGTCAAACACAGTCCTGGCCAATCAGCTTCTCCTCATAGAGATGAATTGATTCAATGCATTTCTATGAGGAAAGGTCAGTGTCTGCATGCAGAGAGTGGAAACACTGAATGGCAGTGCTCCACACTTTGCCGCACTGCCCCAGGAAGCACCTCTAGTAGCTGTCTGAGGAGTGGCCACTGGAGGTATCACTAGGCTGCAATGTAAACACTGCATTTTCTCTGAAAATACCGTGTTTACTGCAAAAAGTCTGAAGGGAATGATTATACTCACCAGAACTAATGCAATAAGCTGTAGTTGTTCTGGTGACCATAGTGTCCCTTTAATATCACTTTTATTTCTATTTATCCAGCCCAGGCCACAACTTCCCTGGCTGTGACTCACGTGGCCAGCAAAGTAAAATGGTTTCATTTTCAATCAGATCTTACAGTGCAGTGTGTTTAATGGATTTTGCTCATGCATGTAAGGCCATTGTGAGCTCAGGCTATTAAGAGAATAGGACAGAAGAAATTCTAAATTGAATTAAACACACTGTGTAACAAGGGAAGCTAAAATAAATTGATTCATTTTCAGGAAGTGTTTAGGAAGTGTGTAGGGAGGTTGTGTAAGTCTCATTGAGGAGCAATTCAAATGTTTTACAGTGTGCCAACATATTTCACAGAGCTGTACAATAAAAAAACAAGACAAACATTTAATTTTAACAAAACATGTATGACATACAGGACCCGAAGGTGAAGAGGAACCTGCCCAAATGAGCTCACTAAGGCTGCATAAAAGTTATGTAAAACATCACGGTCACTGTCTCGGGACTTTGCAGAATTTGCATCCCCAACAGTGACAATAACGCTTGGTGCTGGAATGTAAAGGTGAGTTCTATTTGCCTGAACCTGTGTCTCATAGGTGCACTCATGGTTCTCTCGCGGGTTCTCCTCAGCTCCCGGGATCCAATACATGGGATATGGGATCCTCCATACATAGTGCCAATTCCCTTCACCCATCATTGGTGATGGCTGGGGAGCTCTGTCCAATGTCTAGAGGTTTCAAGTGTAGGGAATGTACAGTATATCTCTTGACTAGGGTGGAATTTCAGTAAAATTCCAACACAGTCACATTAGTATTTTAGAAAGACTCTATCTTTATGAAATACTAATTTTTCAGGAAGGGTGGGGGAAGTCAGTGCCATTTAGACTCCTAAATGGCAGAGAACTGAGCAGCTAGACTGAATGGGTATGATCTATACACACAACCACATTATTGAGTTAAAGTTGTTAACATGCTTAGAGTGTCCTTTTAAAACATCAAAAACTATTTAACACTGGTTGGAAAGATGGTGTCAGGGGGGACTCTAGACATTATAACCACATTAATGAGATGAAGCAGTGCCTACAGAGTTCCTTTAAACAAGGATCCTTTTCAGTTGCCAAGGTAATTTATTGATAATTTAGCAATCAAAAGAATCCTACAGCAAGGCAAACAGCAGACATCATTGACAGAGGAAAAGAAAATGTCGACATTCAGATATTAAGAGCCAGCAAGTGGAAGAAAAGATAATATATAATATAAAGAAATTCATCTTGTAAGACGGAATGTATAATTATTAAGAAACAACGGTCATAAGGAAAGAAAAACCGAAAAAAATACAAATGACAGTGCCACTGTAATGTGTAGCCGCAAGATGGATATATTTAGTACTTAGGGGTAAATGCATAAGCTTACGGGCTATTGAATTATTCAGGGGAAATTCTAAAGAGAGCGAGAAAATGTGTGTGTATGTGTGTGTGTGCTTGCACGCACAGTGACCTATTAGCATATGCAACTTTAGGTGGTGGTCTCATGCAATGCAAGTACACCACGGTATGAACTAACCAACAAAGATGAAAATGATCGCACAGTGACCTGTTTTAACGAGATGAAAAGGCTGCTTACTCTCCAAAGCTATAATTAATCTCTTCATTCTCCCAGTGAACCAGCGCCACCTCATATGGTTGTATTTCATGACGCTCCAGAATTTGCATCACATGTTTCATCTGGTGGGGAAAAAAAGCACTATTAAAAAGGACAACTGTCATACTGACTATGCAATCCAAAGATACCATAAGACAAACTAGGACTACTTTGTGTTATAGTAAAGCCTGAGGTCAACTTTTGTCCAATCCCAGCAGCAGTACAGGCATCATCTCACTTGTCGCATGATGTGATCTATGGAGGCTCCTGCGGAATTCTCCATAGACCTCAGTGTTGCACTATTGCATATGTATGAAAATACATCCCTGACACAGATCCTGGCAGGTGATGTGGCAGGAACTGAAAAGGGTCTCCTGGAAGAAGATGGAGGTGGCCATGAGGGACAACTTCACGTAAGAAGTAACCTGCACCCCATGGCCACCAGACCTTAATCAGAGATGTCAAAATATGCAAAGTCTCAAAATTGACAAATCTTTACATACTTAGTGTTTATTAGTGAGCTGTAGTAAATAGATTTCAGCAGTCTTCTGCACTTAAAGGGTCTATCTAAGCACAATAACAACTTTACATTATCTTAAAGTTAGTGCAGTAGAGAATACCCTGTACCCACTCTTAGAATCAAGAGGACCTTATGACATCCATTCATATTTATTGAACAGGCTCCTGGAACATCTGGTTCTGAGTTACCTGTGTTGTTATTGTGTCTGGCATGAGCACACAACATGCACAAGTTGGACTGTGCTCAAGGACCCCTTCTTGGCAGGATTAGGTCACAATCCATTGAAAGTCTCTTATGGGATTAGGACAGACTCCACTGACCAGAATGAGAGGCATCTCTTCCTAGTGTCAGGACTTATCTTTTCGGCACCGTTCCAGCATTTCCGGTATGCAGAACTGTCCCCGCCCCCTCTCTGACGCGGCTCTCTCAAGCTTTATAGAGAGACCGCGCCAGATTCAAAATTGCTTAGTGATTTCTGGTTGTTACTTCCGCAATCACATTGCCGGCTAAGCTCTTCTCCGTGAATACTGTGTACCGAACCTTGGACTGTCTAAACGGATTTCTGCCTTCTCATCTCCCTCTGACCACAGACCGTGTATTGGATTTACCTGCTCTCTTCCTAAATACAGGAAACCGGACTGTTAGATGTTTAACCATCCTGCAGACTCAAACTAACCTTCCTTTGGAGGACAACTCCCAACAATCATAAATATACAATTTAATACTATCTCTGAGTTCTTACTTGCTAATGAACTGTTACCTGCTTGCTAAAATCTGCTACTACTAAAATACTATTACAATTATTAATGCTTTATGTCTTCAACTAACAACCTGCAAAAGCCACTCTGCCTTAAAGCTACAGTAACCTTATTATTTAAAGGAATCTCATTTCACTCTCTATTATAAAAATAAGGAAATTTATAATCTGCAGTTGTGCTCCACATTTAAACCACTTGTGACATAACACCTAGTGAGGGGGTCAGCCTGCCTACTACTAACACTTAAGCACAGTAAGAAACATAGAAGTATTACTTTTGTTCCTTTTTATTCTGTTTGTAATATATTATATAGTCACTTTTAGTCCACTGTTTCACTTTATGTTACCCAGAAGAGACATTACAAATAATGTTACAGCAGAGAGATGCAAACCCTGTTGGCCAGGTTACTTTATGAGTAAAGGGACACTATAATCACGAAAACAGCTTTAGCTTAATGAAGCAGTTTTTGTGTATAGATCATAACCGTTAAGTCTCATTGTCATTTAAGAGTTCAATCACGTTTGTTTCTGTTAATACAGAACTAGTCAAACCTCCCCTGGTTGTTGCACAGCTTGCATGAAAAAAAACAATTTCATATTCAATCTGATGTTACCTTACGTGTTCCTAATTTTATCTCCTGCTCTGTAAATATAACTTTAATCATCACACACGAGGCTCCTGCAAAGTCTAGCAAGTTATTAGCAGTGCAGGAGATAATAAATTCTAAATTAAACAGACTTTGCAATAAAGGAAGTGTACAGTTTAGATCTCACTTTTCAGGAAGTGTTTAGGAAGGCTGTGTAAGTCACATGCAGGGAGGTGTGACTAGGATTGCATAAACAATGTGATTTAATTAATAAATGGTAGAATATTGAGCCGTGAGACTGCAGAGGCATGACCTATACACCAAAACTGCTTCATAAAGCTATAGTTGTTTTGGTGACTATAGTGTCCCTTTAATGTTACACTAAATTCCTATCATAATGTGCAATTTATGCAAAAATCCTAAACAATGATATCTTTCCTTATAAAAAAAAAAAAGACCACAATCTGTACCAACACGCATAATAAAGATGATGCAAATAATGAAAGATGCCGCATTAGAAGGCTGGCCTCAAATTATACAATATATAGTGTTTTCAGTGCAGTATTTTTAATAAAAAAAAAATTCTATACACTATAACCACTACAACACAGTCCACCGGTAATCTGTTAAACTATTTATGAACAGTTTGAAAAAGCTTAAATTTTTCTTTTGGGTGGCTGGGTACTTCTGGTCTATGTTGGTCTGAAGATGCGTAATTTCATACTTCCGTATTATCATACCAATTCATACTAGGTGCAAACAATTTTCAGTAACTAAGATCCGTCAGCTGACACACAACAAATACCATATAACACTGGTATGATAATGCAGACGTCTTAACTTCTGTTTTATCAAACCAACTCAAACTAAAAGGATGGCTTGCACCCGACATGGCAAGGTAAGAGTCAAAATGTTCATCTATGATTTCAGTTTTAGTGACAACTCTAGTGATTATGGTGCCTAGAGTGTCCCTTGAGCTTGAAGAATGAACAAACTCTAATTAAAAACATATTGTACAGGTTACATTTCTCACATATATACACACACCATTTGATGTTTTTAAAAAGTATGTGCTGATATACTTAATAGCAATACCTCCATAGCTGTTTCGGATCACTTAACTTTTATATAGCCATACTTTCCAGGCCGCCATATTTTATAATTCCCAAGATTTATAGTCTCTGTTCTTTTTTTAAAGCCAACTTCCAAATTCTTTCTCCACAGTAACATCCATGCCATCTTCAGCACCATAAACCCTTCCACTCTCATCCACATAAATATATTTCTCACTCTCAGAAGCTGTAAAACAATTATTCGTACTCTCAAAAGCCATATTCATTTACTTGCTTAAAAACGTTTGCTTATAGCTTTACTTACAGTTTTTTCTTCGACATTCCAGAATACAACAGCCCCTTCCCTGTTATAACAACATACACATGTATTAATGAATAGCGCTATATATCTGTAACATTGCCTGGGTTGCTATATTCAGATTATATCAGAGTATGAGATCAGATTTAAATACAGACTGCCCCACTTCTAATCATGGAGCATATTTTCATTAACTGACCACTACTCCTGTTTAAAAGGACATTCTAAGCAACAAAACCATATCATCTTAATTTAGACCCTGGCCCTTTTGTTTGGCAATGTGAAACATGCTGTTGAGGGAATTTTGCCATTAATGTGTCCCGATTGGTGGAACTTTCTCTACGGAGACTTTCAATTATTGAAAGACTTCACATTTTGCGACATCGTGCACAGCATGATGCCACCAAACGTGAATGCATTTCACAGAGAAGCAATACTTTTCGATAAAAAGTATCCAAATAGCTGAGTGTGAATTGCTACCGTGTTTCCCCGAAAATAAACCCTACCCCGAAAATAAGCCCTAGTCGGATTTTCGGGGTGGGCTGCAATATAAGCCCTACCCCGAAAATAAGACCTAGGCATTGCACCTTTGCGGCGAGACTTCCTTCTTCTACTGTAGGAGGAGCGTTGCGGGCCGCGGCATCACGCAACGTGATGACGACATTTCGCAGCGCCGTCAGTCTGCCTTCACGGATCTTCAGCGGAAGGATCCATTTCCGGGCGGTGAGGCACCCAGTGGTCGGACTCGGCAAGGAATCTTTGAAATGTGAGTACCGGTAGATATTTTATGTCTGGGACTGAATTAATTAAAGGGGGCAGGGGGGTGAATTAATTAAAGGGGGGTGAATTAATTAAAGGGGACTGGATTAATTAGAGGGGGTGAATTAATTAAAGGGTGGTGAATTAATTAAAGGGTGGGCTGGATTAATTAGAGGGGGGTGAATTAATTAAAGGGGTGGTGAATTAATTAAAGGGTGGGCTGGATTAATTAAAGGGGGTGAATTAATTAAAGGGTGGACTGGATTAATTAGAGGGGGTGAATTAATTAAAGGGGTGGTGAATTAATTAAAGGGTGGGCTGGATTAATTAGAGGGGGTGAATTAATTAAAGGGGTGGTGAATTAATTAAAGGGTGGGCTGGATTAATTAGAGGGGGGTGAATTAATTAAAGGGGTGGTGAATTAATTAAATGGTGGGCTGGATTAATTAGAGGGTGGTGAATTAATTAAAGGGGTGGCGAATTAATTAAAGGGTGGGCTGGATTAATTAGAGGGTGGTGAATTAATTAAAGGGGTGGTGAATTAATTAAAGGGTGGGCTGGATTAATTAGAGGGGGGTGAATTAATTAAAGGGGGTGAATTAATTAAAGGGTGGGCTGTATTAATTAGAGGGGGTGAATTAATTAAAGGGTTGGTGAATTAATTAAATGGGTGGTGAATTAATTAAAGGGTGGGCTGGATTAATTAGAGGGGGTGAATTAATTAAAGGGGTGGATTAATTAGAGGGGGTGGTGGATTAATTAAAGGGGGGTGGATTTATTAAAGAGGGGGTGGATTAATTAAAGGGGGTGGATTAATTAAAGGGGGGTGGATTAATTAGAGGGGGTGGATTAATTAGAGGGGGGGGGGGTGGATTAATTAAAAGGAGGGGTGGATTTATTAAAGAGGGGGTGGATTAATCAAAGGGGGTGAATTAATTAAAGGGTGGGCTGGATTAATTAGAGGGGGTGAATTAATTAAAGGGGTGGTGAATTAATTAAAGGGTGGGCTGGATTAATTAAAGGGTGGACTGGATTAATTAGAGGGGGTGAATTAATTAAAGGGGGGTGAATTAATTAAAGGGTGGACTGGATTAATTAGAGGGGGTGAATTAATTCAAGGGTGGGCTGGATTAATTAGAGGGGTGAATTAATTAAAGGGTGGGCTGGATTAATGAGGGGTGAATTAATTAAAGTGGTGGTGAATTAATTAAAGGGTGGGCTGGATTAATTAGAGGGGGGTGAATTAATTAAAGGGGGGGTGAATTAATTAAAGGGTGGGCTGGATTAATTAGAGGGGTGGATTAATTAGAGGGGGTGAATTAATTAAAGGGGTGGTGAATTAATTTAAGGGTGGGCTGATTAATTAGAGGAGGGGGGTGAATTAATTAAAGGGTGGGCTGGATTAATTAGGGGGGTGGATTAATTAAAGGGGTGGATTAAAGGGGGGTGGAGAGGGGGTGGATTTATTAAAGAGGGGGGTGGATTAATTAAAGGGGGTGGATTAATTAAAGGGTGGGCTGGATTAATTAAAGGGGGTGGATTAATTAGAGGGGGTGGATTAATTAAAGATTAATTAGAGGGGGGTGGATTAATTAGACAGTACGGTATTTTGATCCCCAGACAAGATGAGTGCAAAGAGAAAGAGCTATTCTGTCGAGTACAAGAAAGGAATCGTGGAGGACTCCCACGGCAAGAATCTGACCACTTTCTGCAAAGAGATGAAGTTAGATCTCTGAATGGTCCGAAAATGGCGAGCAGAGTATGGTAACCTCAGTCAAAAGGTGGACGAGGGAAATGCTAAGAAGCGCAAGTGTGGATCAGGTCGCCAGCCATTATATCTTGAGCTGGAAGATGTCATCTGTGAATGGATTGCTGACAAGAGAGCAAAGGCTTTGGTTGTGCGCAGGGCTGATATTCAAGCATTTGCCCTTGAAATAGCACCACAATTAGACATATCCACAGAAGATTTCAAAGCATCACACCACTGGCTGGATGGCTTCCTTAAGCAATATGAACTGTCTCTAAGAAGATCGACAACACTGTTCAAGCTGGAAGATAATGAAGTTGTTAAACGTGCACTTGCATTCAAGTTCTTTATTGATGGCATAGACTTTTCTAAATACCAACTCTCCAACATGATTGCGATGGATGAAACTGCAGTGTATATGGGCCAAGGATCTCAAACGACAATTGATCAGAGGGGAGCCTCCTCAATCTACGTTCCCTCCACTGGTTATGAAAGTGCACGTGTTACTTGTGTTTTGGCAATTCGTCTGGATGGAACAAAAGCCACACCTCTAATTATCGCAAAGGGAAAGAAAGATAAGATTGAACGCATTTCAGGCATTTATGTTCTTGAAACAGAAAAAGCCTGGTGCACACAAGCAGTTATAAGAAAGTGGATCGATTTAATGCTGCCACTTGTTCTGAGAGGTGGCCAAAGAGGTCTGCTAGTCTGGGATTCAGCCAGCACTCACCGCGCAAAAGACATGAAGAACTTCCTTGCAGAGAGAAGAATAGATCAAGTAATGATTCCCGCAGGAATGACTGCTTATCTCCAAACTCTTGATATTGCAATAAATAAACCATTCAAGGACCATTTGCGCACGGAAATCAATGAATACTCTGAAAATAGATTGGTCAGAAATCAGCGTGGAAACTTTGTGAAGCCTAAACTGCTAGAGGTCGTGACATGGGTGAAGAATTCATGGGATAAAATCACTGACAGCTGTGTTGCCAAAGCACTACGAGCAGGCTACATGGACAAGAAGTACTCGTTTAAGGAGAGCTATATTGCTTTACATGAGAGATTAGGCCCAATGGTTCAAAAGGAAATGGAGATGCAAGAAATTCAGGCTGGCAATCAGGGTTTGGAGAGTTATGATGATATTCCAGAAGAAGATGACATGATTGTAATTGAATAAATGTTGTTTACGGTAGGGAGAGCTACTGTACCATATATTGCTGTAAATGAGAGATTAGGACCAATGGTTCAAAGGAAAATGAAGATGACTGTACCGGTATTTGAAGAAAAGTTGTTTAAATGTTGTTCAATGTACATACCGGTACCGTAAATAAATAAGCCCTACCCTGAAAATAAGCCCTAGTGTGTTTTTTGTGACTAAAATTAATATAAGACCCGGTCTTATTTTCGGAGAAACACGGTATGCATGTAGGCTTTTTATGAGTTGCATTGGGTTTAACCAGAGATCATCCAGGCAGATGATGTCAAAAGAAGAAAAGTGGCTGCAGCAAAGAGATGTCCTGTTTTCTTATTTTAAAGAGTGAGAAAGGGCATAATCTAAAGCTCAGGAACACTATACTATTATAAACCATTATAAATAAATATATTTATTTTTAATGTTAGAGTGTTCCTTTAAGAGTCACAATAAATATTTTTTTTTGTGGGGGGGGAATTAAAGGGACACTACAGGTATCAAATCAACTTTAGCTTAATGAAGCAGTTTGGATGTACGTATCATGTCCATGCAATCTGACTGCTCAATTATCTGACATTTAGGAGTTTAATAACTTTTGTTTCATGTAGATCTAGCTACACCTTCCCAGGATATAGCCTGCAAGAAAAAAATTGGTTTAATTTTCATATCTTAACTCACTTTGGAAGGTTTTATTTCCTGAGCAGGCGATAATACATTTAAAATGAAAAAAGACTGTGCAAAAAAGGAAGTTTAAACATTAGATCTCTCTTTCCAGGAAATGTGTAGGTCACATGCAGGGAGGTATAACTGGGCCTTCATAAAGTGATAAGTTAACTACTAAATGGCAAAGACCTGAGCAGTGAGACTGCAGGGGCATGGTCTATACAACAAAACCAACTCCCTCCCCCCTCCCCCCCTTGAAAAATTAGTATTTCATAAAGATAGAATCTATGAAAGACTCATTTTGATTGTGTTGGAATTTCATTGAAATTCCAACCTAGTCAAGAGATATACAGTAACAAAGCAGTGACTATGTTGTCTCTGTATATTTCCTAACCCTGACAATTCTAGATGGACTTCTAGACGTAGTTACCACCATCTAGCAGTGTCAAACCTCCATCTGTCATCAGTACCAGCTGCAGGGAATTGGATCTGTCTATGGAGGATCTTACATGGTCAACAAATTAGTTACATAGCTGAAAAGAAACTTGCGTCCATCTAGTGAGTATAAAACAAATGTGTACAATTTAGTTTGTGTTTTAAAGAGTTTGTGGTTGGAATGAAGATAGAAGATGTAAAAATGAAGGAAATGAAACATCTGTACCTGAAGAAAAAGATAATCCCTGTATCATTTTCTTTGGCAGTACTTTCTACTTCGACTAGCAACACATTGGATGCATCTATAAAATAAAATGAAATGCACAGAATATAGAGAGTTGACAGATTTACATGTTCCTTCACAGTAGTGTAGTTAAACAGCTCTCCCACCAACTGAACTCTTGTAGAAGTTTTAAGCCATTTGTGCCTATTCGGTAGGGATCATGGCCTTCATGTCTTCTTCATTACAAGTGATATTAGCCTGTGCAGAAGCTGTTGCGTCAGGACGTCTTTAATATTACTAGGACCCTGGACAAAGCATTTTCTTGGGCCCCCTGGGCACCCCACACTCCCTGGCATGCAATCACACCTTTCACAAACATACTTACACAGACTTATACACGGGCAGACATACTGACACACACACATATATACTGACAGACATGCTGACACAGACAGACACAAACACACTGACAGACATACTGACACACACAAACACACTGACAGGCATAATGACACACACACAGACACATACCCTGACAGACATACTGACACACTGACAGACATACTGACAAACATACCCTGATAGGCATACTGACACACACTGACAAACATAATGACACACAGACACAAACACAGTGGTGTATATAGGATTTGTGCTGCCCTAGGCAGGACAGTGCTCGGGCAGCCTCCACGACCCCCTTAATTAAAATTTTCCCCACCCCTTCCAGTCAAGGCCGCACTTTGACACACTGATAGGAGGACACACACTATTACTCGGACACACACTGACAGACGCACACTCTCACTGACCGACACATACATATTCATTGACTGACACACACACACACATTCACTTACAGACACACACACTTACAGACACACACACACATTCACTCACATACACTCATTCACACACTCACAGACACACACACACACAGACATTACCACCAACACTTTAAATTATTATAATATTTTTTTATTTTAAATTCACCCAGCCTCCCTGGGAGAGCTGGAGTGGATTATTTATCTGTCTAGTAGGGCTGCTGGGCGGGCAGGCAGAGGGTGGACAGGCAGAGTAGGCGGCAAGGGAGCTCTAATTCCCCTGCTCAGCTCCCTCACGTGTCGCTTAGTGATGCCGGGAGCCGGTCTAACGTCATATTCCGGCTCCCGACTTCATTAAGCAGCGCGCGAGGGAGCTGAGCATGCTCCCTCGCTGCCCGTTGCCCACCCCCTGCCTCAAGGGGCTCAAAAGTGGCCAGCTGGCCAGCTCTTGAGCCCCCCAGGAAACGAGGTAAGCAAAGGATCTGCCTGGGCGTTTGGGGGTGGCTTTTTTTGCCGCCCCCTGCAAAGTGCCGCCCAAGGCAGATGCCTTGTTTGCCTCATGTAAGATACGTACCTGCACACACACAAAGACATACACTGGCAGACATACTGACATACCCATTGACAAGCATACTGACACACACATATACTGACAGACAACCTACTGACACATTCACACTTTTAAATCTACTCCCCATTTCCTACCTTGAAGGATTGCTTCCCTGGTGTCCAGAGTGGTGGCTGGGGCTGTTGGGGGTTGCCAAGGGCAATCCAGACCAGCCCCGCTCCTCTCTGCTTCCCTGGTGTGGTCTCTCCCGTGCGTCTCTCTCTGGGAGGAAGTGACTCACGGCAGTTAAAGGGCCACAGCGTGGGACCGGGCCCCTGCTTACAAACGCCCACCGGGTGGCCCATCCTTCTTAGTGTGCAGGCAACAGGATGCACCAGGGGTCCGTGGGAGGGGGGGAGAAAGTTGTCGAGGGCAGCAGGGCCCATGGGGCAGCTGCCTTGGGCCCCCTAGAAGTAAAAGGGCCCGGGACAGCTGCCCCATTTGCCCCGCGTTAAAAACGGCCCTGTATTGCTTATTGCTATGGGAAGCACTTCTTCAGGAAACTTATGTTTGGCACTACTAACTAAAAATTGATCTTAAAAAGATAGAGAGGTTGTGGTGTTGGGCAACACCAGCACCAGTACCTCAGAAAGGTTACAGGAGATATAAATAGGGCTTGACCCCAAGACGTACTGAAAAAATAGACGAAAGGAAGGGGTAGATCGACAGCTCCACAAAAGCGGGTGAGATCTACTCACATCCACACATACCTCCTAATGTCAACGTAACATAAAAAATGGTAAGAACCTTTATTAATAAACATAAGAAATAAAAAAAAGGAGGATAATGCTAGATATTCAAAACTCAATATACCAAAAACAAACGTGTCACAAACGTGAAACAGTGAAAAATATACGTAATAAAATACCCGGGTACACTCATACCGAGAGGTCCGGCACGGATAATGAGGGGTTCTGGATGACTAAAAGTATATGGGCCACACTAGGTCTACAGGTAGCAACACACGTATGGGGGCAGTGTGTGTGTATGGGGATAATGTATGTGTGTAGAGTGTGTGTATGGGGGGCAGTGTGTGTGTATGGGGGGCAGTGTATGTGTATGGGGGCAGTGTGTGTCTATAGGGGGCAGTGTGTGTCTATGGGGGCAGTGTGTGTCTATGGAGAGCAGTGTGTGTGTATAGGGGCAGTGTGTGTGTATGGGGGCAGTGTGTGTGTGTATGGGGGGCAGTGTGTGTATGGGGGCAGTGTGTGTGTATGGGGGTAGTGTATGTGTGTAGAGTGTGTGTGTGTGATAAGAAGGGTAGGGGGGCTTTTTTTTATAATATTTTTTTAAATTTAATTAAAATAAATAAATACTCCCTTCTTACCTTCACTGGGAGGAGGGGGGACATTTCTCCATCCCTGGTGGTCCGGTGGTAGGAGTGAACTCTAGCCCATAACTCCAGGGCTAGAGTTCACTCTCGCGAGATTTGGAGCGTTGCTGTGGTAACCGCGGCACCGCTCCCTGCTCACGAGAGGAGGACCTGGAGATGCTGCAGGCTGAGCTCCCGGGTCCTCTCTCACTTCCTCCCTGCCGACTGCCAGCACAGTGCCTCTCTGATAGCCACTTTGCAACTATGACGATAGCCACATCCGTATTTTTATATAGTTTTTTGCAGATTGTTGCCCTGTGTTGACAGTTCTCCTGGCTGTCTGCCTATTTTACCTTATTCTATTTTAGACTTACTGTCCGATGGGCAGAGACAGAACCATGGGGTGATTACTATACACCCCCTCAGCCAATGCCAGTACACGGACTTCTACGTTCCTGATTGGCTATGAGCCTCTAGGGATAGAATCTGATTGGCCTATAGGGAGTGAGAGGGAGGTACTCTGCTCCTGACCCACTTGCCCGCTTGGATTGGGTGTTAACAAAAGGAGGTGTGTCCTTTCGTACCTTTATAAGGAGTCTCTCTTGCACTTGCCGGTCAGCTCTTGATAAAGGCGTATGGAAACGCGGAAACGCGCATCAAGCTTTATTTTGCCGATGCATACACTTTGCTAGAATTTCCTTTTTTTTATTTTAACTTTACCTGGGTCACTTTGATGCCTTTACTTTCATTTATCCTATTAATAATGACTTTGACTATGCTCCTCCGCTCTACTATTTAGGGTTATTTTGAGGCTGCCTTGAAGCAGCAGGTAGATATGCCAGTTTTCACCTTCAAGTTAGTGAGCTATTTTAGGGCGTACTAGGGTGCTGCTCCTGTATGTGACTACCTTTGGTTTCTCCTACTCCTTACTTTTCTTCTTTTATATAGACCTCCATCTCCCTCTTACTCATGGACCAGGCAATCTCGGTCCTTTTTATTTCTGTTTAAGTTACAGAACTATTATTTTGAGTTTAGCTTTGAGTCTTTTTTCTATACTGAGAGGGGGGTCATATGGGTCAAAGTTAAATTGACTGTATTTGATAAGGAGATTATGGGGAAGCTCTTCTCTTTGGATATACTCACCCCGCCACTAGAGGCTCCCTAATGATACCGGCTGTCTACTCCTCAACTATATCCCCGTATAAAGGGAGGTTTGCTAGCCACCTTTTTTCTGATAGGCTTATATAAGCAGTCCTTTACATACTGGGGTCCTTTCTAGTGGCTCTATTTTTACCTTATACTTAAACCAAGTATAGACTTTAATTGGGAACTAGATTTCTACTTGGTTAGGACCTCACTATACCTGGAGGTGTCATTTAGAATTTGGATATCAGGCTTTCTGGGGTTCGTGTGTTGCTAGCTGTGGACCTAGTCTGGCCCATATACTTTTAGTCATCCAGAACCCCTCATTATCCGTGCCGGACCTCTCGGTATGAGTGTACCCGGGTATTTTATTACGTATATTCTTCACTGTTTCACGTTTGTGACACGTTTGTTTTTGGTATATTGGGTTTTGAATATCTAGCATTATCCTCCTTTTTTATTTCTTATGTTTATTAATAAAAGTTTTTACCATTTTTTATGCTACGTTGACATTAGGAGGTATGTGTGGATGTGAGTAGATCTGACCCGCTTTTGTGGAGCTGACGATCTACCCCTTCCTTTCGTCTATTTTTTCAAACTAAAAATTGATGTTGACAGTGTAGTTAGAGGGACACTATAGGTCCCTAGATCACTTTATCTCTTTGAAGTGCTCTGGGTGTAGTGTCCCTGTTTCCTTAACCCTGCAATGTAAAACATTGAAATTTTAGAGAAACTGCCTCTAGTGGCTATCTATCTCCCAGAGTTTGACTCCGTGAAATCTCTTTGAACAAAAAAATGTAGCTAGGGACCCTCATTCAGTGTTAATCTGTTACGAAGTGGTTTAACACTGAATGGAGAGATTGCACCAGATGATTTCTGGCACTATAACCACGTCAATAAGATGCAATGGTTATAGTCCCTAGAGTGTCCCTCTAAGTTGCTTTGGCTTAGATTTCACTTTTAACACATGTTCCACTATGACTTTACCATAGAGGTACCAACTCAAATTTGTATTTTTATTTTTTTTTGTACTAAATAACATGCTGTATGTTAGCTGTATCTTAACCCTGCCTAATATGCCTCATCTCCGTTATTCTAAAACATGTAAATATTCCTGGTTCTATAACAGAGATAAGTGATTTCACAACTAACTTTCTAAGCAATGTTTTTATCATGTTGTACTGCACATGATAGAAGATCAAGAAGCACAGCAAAGGTTTCTGTGATTTGTAGTTCAGCTTTCAGAAGTATAAATCTAATAAACGGCATCCAAGTCCCAGAAACCTCTGCTGTGACCATATTGATTATCTGAAAACAGGGAAGTTCCTGCAAAATACAGCCACTTCAAATGTGAGTGTCTTGTTTGGCTTTTATACTTTTGTATTCTATTGTGCTGTACAATAGGTGAAACAAGACAAAAAAGTAATTCTAACAAAACATGTCTGAAATATGGGAACATTAGGTGAAGAGCGAACTGTTCATATAAGCGTATAATCTAAAAAAATGACAGTCATCAAAACAATGCAACTGTGGCTAAAATTACCGAACTGTCAGTCAGTCTAGTACTTAAGCATGGAAATACTAATATGTAGTTTGACATCTAGCTCTCTGAGGGTCCTATAGCATGCACAGAACTCATACATTTTCCTTCTTGCTCTGCATGGACATACTTTACTATCCTTTTCACTAAATCCTGGGCAAAACCTTAGCTTTACTTTATTGCTTTCATGCCTTCCAATTACTGCCAAAATGATTGATGGCTTGACTACAGGTGTTTTCTGCAAATTATACAAGAGATAAGGCTGATGACGAGAGTGCACAAGTCAAGATATTGCAAGAACATAAATGATACCTCTTGGCAAAATTGGCAGTTCCAAGTAGCCGTGTAATGTCAGGTCATGGCACAAAGTACCCAAGTGATATTCATCAGCTGTTGCGAAGGCTGTGCACTGCATCAGATCCTAAATAAGAAAAGCAAAGAAAGTAGACAATATTGATATCAAGCCCATTGCTCTTATATGCACCCAGTTCCTTTATACTGGAGGTACGATGGATGACTGCAGAGACGTGTGCGTACAAATCCTATATTATTGTATTTTCATATACTATGACACATACATTCAAAATACTATTATTTATTCTGTTTACGCAAGGCCAGAGGTTGTTCCTAAACTTAAATAAAAGTGAATAAATCCATTTTTACCACAGTGTCTGACAGTAAAGGTTGATTAGCTCTGGATGGCTGTTTTGTTCTCGGTGCTTTTAGAGGTCTTTTGGTTACAGATAACGGCGTTCCAGGTTTTGATGAGGAGATGGAATATAACCTACGAGAAACTCCAAGCAAATTACACTGGGGAACAGAGGTCCTTGTGTGTTGAAAACCAATATAAAATCCACATAGATTTTTTAACTCTACATGCACTCCTGGAAGATTCATCAAAGATTTGACATTGCATTTCATAAGAACATTTGTAGTCACAGATGAAATTGCAGGTCTTGTGTTCCCAGGTCCTGTACAATGTCTGTATTTACAAGGTACTGTAAAAGGTTCATTCATGATGCATTGAGTCCTGTATATTTTTGTCACCAGATCAGCTGTCCTCCTCAGCAGGCCCCTCATGATACAGAGCTGAAAAAAGAAGCACACTTTATGAAATTAGTTTTATTGCATTTATTTCAGCAATGTGTCAGTCTATGCTGAATTAATTTTGATAAATTCACTATTCACAGTGTTATTTATATCTGTGTTATGTTTTGGCTAATTATACAATGGAGGCTTGTCCATAGTGGCAGTGCTACCCATGTGCTGTTGCAAGGAAGAGTGAGTTAAAAAAAAAACCACAAAAAAACCAAACCTAATCTGATGGTTGGATGACGTCCCTAAAACCTGTGTAAACTCTGTGAAGTTGCCTACTTCACCGTCATTGGCTAGCAGTTCCCATTTGATTCCTAATGGTGCCAATTAAAAGGGACAAAAATAGGCCTTAGTAGACTGGCCCATTTACTAGCATGCCTACTGGGCTCTTATTGGCTGCTGGAAGCAGGCGGTGGAGTTGTCAGAAATCCACTTCCCCTTCTGAAGTTGAGGCATGTGGTTGCTCCATCGTTTCCTCTCTCCCGGCTCTAGCAGATCCCTCCAAGCACTGGCTTCACTTTGCAGAAGGTATGGTGGCAGACACTGCTTTACCTTTGGGATCCTGCGCCAAGCCCACAGACTCCCAGGCTCCTTCCCTCCCCTCATTGTGTACTTTAACTTAGAATGGCAGCAGGCACCGCTTTGATATTTACTTTAGGCAGCAAGAATGGCAGCAGGCACCGCTTTACCACTCGCTGATTGAAGTGGTGTCTGCCTTACTTTAGTGTTAAGAACTTTAAAAGGTGCCCCTCATACCGTTCATGTCCTATCACCCCTAAAAATATCACACAGTGACAGGCAGTGGTGTATTTTAAATTTGTGCTGCCCTAGGCATGACGAAACTTGTGCACCCCCCCAATCTAAATTTGCTCACAAACAGACAAACACTCATTTACTAACAGACGCACACTCACAGACATTCACTGACAGACACATACATTCACTAACAAATACAAACTCACAGACATACACTGACAGACACACACTTCCAGACAGACACACACACATTCCCTCACAGACACACACATTCACTGACAGGCACACACACATTAACTCACAGACACATACTGACAGACACAAACATTCACTGACAGGCACACACACACATTCACTCACAGACACACACATTCAGTGACAGACAGCCTGATACTGACACACTAAAACAGACACACACACTCACAGACACCGATACTGACACACACACACATTGTCTAATACAAATTATCTGTCATTTAATTTTAATCCACCCAGCCTCCCTACCTTTAGGAGAGCTGGAGTGGATTCTTCCCTGGGGCCCAGTGGGGCCAGCTGCTGGTGGCTTGGCAGACGGGCGGGCAGGCATGAAGGCACAGGCGGGCGGGCCGTTGGTCAGTCAGCCAATGCTGGCGGCCAGGGAGCACTGTGCTCTGAGCTCTTCCTGCTCAGTGAAGCCGGGAGTCAGAATGACGCACTGTTGGCAGCTTGAACGCGTCTGGGGGGCCCTGAGGTTGCCAGTCTCTTGGGTCCCCCATGAAAGAGGCAAACATGGCATCTGCCAGGACGCTTGGGCGGGGGAGGGGGTGGCGTTTTTTGCTGTCCCCCCGAAAGTGCCGCCCAAGGCAAATGCCTTTTTAACCTCGTTAAAGATAAAGCACTGGTGACAGGCACCAACTCCATCAGTGGGTACCTGTCACTAAGGCCACTGAGAAAGCTACTTATTCTATTATTTCTTTTTTTTTAAGTTATAAAATTTTCTCATGAGGAAAATTTCTTTTTTTATAAATAAAATGTAAATAATAAAGTCTGTATTTTTTTATTTCAATCAATTTGTATTGCACTTTACAGTTTAAAAATGTAAAGTAATCATTTGGTGGCATATTGTGGCTAAACTCTTTATTGCACTTGTAATTCAATGATTCACTATATATGGTTACATATATCTGGAGGTATTAGAGCCATATATAATAATAATAATAATAATAATAATAATATATAGTATCTCATAAAAGTGAGTACACCCCTCACATTTTTGTAAATATTTTATCATATCTTTTCATGTGACAACACTGAAGAAATGACACTATGCTACAATGTAAAGTTGTACAGCCTAAATAACTGTATAAATATGATGTCCCCTCAAAATAACTCAACACACAGCCATTAGTGTCTAAACCGTTGGCAACAAAAGTGAGTACAGCCCTAAGTGGAAATGTCCAAATAGGGCCCAATTAGCCATTTTCCCTCCCTGGGACTCTTTAGTGTCACAAGATCTCAGGTGTGAATGGGGAGCAGGTGTGTTAAATTTGGTGTTATCGTTCTCACACTCTCTCATACTGGTCACTGGAAGTTCAACACCTCATGGAAAATAACTCTCTTAGGATCTCAAAAAAATAATTGTTGCTCTACATAAAGATGGCCTAGGCTATAAGAAGATTGCCAAGACCCTGAAACTGAGCTGCAGCATGGTGGGCAAGACCATACAGCGGTTTCACAGGACAGGTTCCACTCAGAATAGGTCTTGCCATGGTCGACCAAAGAAGTTGAGTACACGTGCTCAACGTCATAACTAGAGGTCGTCTTTGGGAAATAGACGTATGAGTGCTGCCAGCATTGCTATAGAGGTTGAAGGGGTGGGAAGTCAGCCTGTCAGTGCTCAGACCATACGCTGCACACTGCATCAAATTGGTCTACATGGTCTCTTCTAAAGATGATGCACAAGAAGGCCCGCAAACAGTTTGCTGAAGACAAGCACAGTAAGGACATGGATTACTAGAACCATGTCCTGTGGTCCAATTAGACCAAGATAAACTTAGGTATGGTGTCAGATAAACTTGGTTCAGATGGTGTCAAGCGTGCGTGGCGTCAACCAGGTGAGGAGTAGAAAGACAAGTGTGTCTTGCCTACAGTCAAGCATAATGGTGGGAGTGTCATGGTCTGGGCCTGCATGAGTGCTGCCGGCACTGGGGAGCTACAGTTCATTGATGGAACCATGAATGCCAACATGTACTGTGACATACTGAAGCAGAGCATGATCCCCTCCATTCGGAGCCTGGGCCGCAGGGCAGTATTCCAATATGATTACGACCCCAAACACACCTCCAAGACGACCACTGCCTTGCTAAAGAAGCTGAAGGTAAAGGTGATGGACTGGCCAAGCATGTCTCCAGACCTAAACCCTATTGAGCATCTGTGGGGCATCCTCAAATGGAAGGTAGGGGAGCGCCAGTGGCAACCTGTGAAGCTATGGTGAACTCCATGCCCATGAGGGTTAAAGCAGTGCTGGAAAATAATGGTGGCCACACAAAATATTGACACTTTAGGCCCAATTTGGACATTTCCAAAAAGTACTCACTTTTGTTGCCAACGATTTAGACATTAATGGCTGTGTGATGAGTAATTTTGAGGGGACAGCCAATTTACACTGTTATACAGGTTGTACACTTACTTCTTTACAATGTAGCAGAGTGCCATTTCTTCAGTGTTGTCACATGAAAAGATATAATAAAATATTTACAAAAATGTGAGGGGTGTACTCACTTTTGTGAGATACTGTACATATTCCTATTCATGATTAACACTATTTAGGGACAGATTCAAATACACGTGTATTTGACTGTGTCCAGTCTGGTTCCCCCTCCAACTTGAAAAGTCACCAGCCGCCACTGAGCTAACGTAGTAAAGGATGACTCCAAACACCATAGCCACTACAGCTTTTTGCAGTGGTTATGGTGTAGAAGCCCACCCACCCCCTATTATAATGAGCCAAACCATTTCAGAAATGCTTAACTTCATACCTGGGATCAACCGGGTGCCACTTTTTGCCTGCAATACCCAGAGAGCTGAGTCCTTATGTCTCAACTAGGCACTTAGGGACTGCCATAGACTATCTCTTGCTAAAACACAAGCATGGTTGTGAAGCATTCGAGGGGATGTGCTGTTTTAACTTGTCTGACCATGCTAGACCCATACATCTAAACATTGCTGACTTAAGAAAGATAGCATCTGACCTAACCCAAGACTCAGGATTCTTTGAGGAACCTTCGGTTTGGATACCTGGTTGGGTCTATTGGGTAGGAAAATATGAAGCGGCGCTATTGTGATTATTTTTATTCTAATTACTATATATATTGTAGTTTCTTGTTTAAGATGCTTTGTTTCTGAAAAGAATACTAGAAAACCTGTTCGATATCACCAAATGTCAATCCACCAGTTCTGCTACCTGTGACAACCTCAATTTTGCAAATTGATTCCTGCTTACTTAAAATAAATACCTTTAGATGGGTAAGTATAAAGTTAATACCTCACATGGTAATTATATTAACCATGATGTCGATTTTCGTTGTGGATTGCAATATTTTAAATTCTACACCATTTATAATTTTTGTGAGAAATAAATCTATTTTGTGAATGTTACAGGTGCCACCTCAGCTTTGCATCACTGAATATTTCACAATAGTTTAGATGTCTTGCAAAATAACAATAATTAATTTTCTTGGGCAATGTTTTGTAGACCCATTTTTTCATAGTTCACATACACAAATACACAATAACATCTAGTAGAAAATCATCAAATATAGTGATTACGTCCTATTGAAAGTTCTTTCAGAAACTGCAAAGACCCCCAAAATGACAGCACTACCTTAAAGGACCACTCTAGGCACCCAGACCACTTCAGCTTAATGAAGTGGTCTGGGTGCCAGGTCCCTCTAGGATTAACCCTTTTTTTTATAAACATAGCAGTTTCAGAGAAACTGCTATGTTTATAATAGGGTTAATCCAGCCTCTAAAGCCTCTAGTGGCTGTCTCATTGACAGCCGCTAGAGGCGCTTGCGTGCTTCTCACTGTGAAATTCACAGTGAGAAGACGCCAGCGTCCATAGGAAAGCATTATAAATGCTTTCCTATGAGACAGGCTGAATGCGCGCGCAGCTCTTGCCGCGCATGCGCATTCAGCCGAAGAGGCGGAGAGGAGGAGGAGAGCTCCCCGCCCGGCGCTGGAAAAAGGTAAGATTTAACCCTTTCCTCGCCATCCAGCCCAGCGGGAGTGGGACCCTGAGGGTGGGGGCACCCTCAGGGCACTATAGTGCCAGGAAAACGAGTATGTTTTCCTGGCACTAAAGTGGTCCTTTAAAGGAACACTGAATCAATACATCTCTATGAGGAACATTCAGCGTCTCCATGCAAAGCACCTCTAGTGGGTAATGGAGTGACTGCCACTAGATGTGTTACTAGGCAGTAATGTAAAAGGCAGTGAATCTAATGTATCTTTTGACAAGGCAGTGTTTACATTAAAAACATGCAGGGACAGGTTTCAGACACCAACCTGTAGTTGTTCTGTTGACTACAGTATCCCTTCAGTAAGACTTTTAGAATACATGTTAAATTAAATATAAACAGTATTTATGATTATACAATCAATAAATATTCTATCTTGTTTAGGGATAAGGTGAAGTTGACTACAATTCCCTGGGAACGTCCATTTTGCTGGGCAGCCAGTATTGTAGATACACTAATAACAAAGCTGATTCTGGTTACATTTAATTGTAGCAGAAGTCTTGGAATTCAGAACCCCATTAATAACAACATTCCAATCCAGGTTTGGTGTCTACTACTCTAAAGCTGACATCTGACCTAAACAGCCGGGTGCTATACCCTAGTGCTAATGACTATCACTAAAATCTACCATCACTACACTGTCCATGCAACCAAGAGTAATTAGCATTTATTTAACGGGAGATTCACAAAAGCACGAGACAGGACTCGAACACGCGACCTTGACATGTACAGACAGCGGATTACCTGTCTTCTCTGTCGCAGCCGGACCACGCCCCTCTTATGACCACGCCCCCGCCAGCCCTTCACATAGAATTCTAAAGACCAGCCCTCTTGCAGCCTGTTAGACCGCAGGATACTCATTCTGGCCGTTAGAAGCAGCAGATTCGTTTGAAGCAGCAGTCACTTCAAGCTGCGTCAAAAAGACACTAAAAGTTAGACAAACGCTTGCTGTGAAAATTACACGGATAAATAATCTGTGTGAATTATTTTAAATGGAAAAAAATTCAACTTCAGTGCGTCTATCTCATTCATGGTGATTGTATGGAAAGTGCGTATGAGGTGTGAGCGGCTGCAGCTGTCACTTGCTGTGTCTGAGACTCCTGGCAGTTCTGCTCATGGGGAACAAGTGAGCTCCTGGCTGTGTCTCTCTCTGGGTGAGTGGGAATAGGACAGAAATTGCAACATAATCAATCATTATTAATAGCATGTTCATAGAGATATATCGTTTTATGCAAAGGTTCTTTAAAAGGGAATTGTACCCTGAAAATATGTGCATTTGCTTCTATGCAAAGTGAATTTCAATTTTTAGCCAGAAATAGCCAAATTGAAAACATAGGTAAGAAATGTTCCAGTTCAGTCATTTTGGCCTTAAATTAGAAATTTACTTTAGGGTTTATTCACTAAATTCTGTACTGTAGTAAATTAAAAATGCAAATCTGTGTTGATAGTCGAGTTTGTGAATTTTTATTCTTGATTCTCTGCAATTCACTAATTTGTGAATAAACTCTATGTCCAATTCCGTTATTTTATCTTACAATTCATGATTTTACAAGACCTTCAGGTGAGACATAATAGAAATGTTATTAAAGATAGCCGCTGGAGGTCTGGTGGCCATGGGAGGCGTGGAAAAGTGAGATTTACTGACTTGAACATGTCACTGGCGGGCATTGCCATCCTCCTCCTACTGCTCTTCAGCTCCCTGTGCTTCAGCTGACAGGTGTGGGAGTACAGCATTGAGGACTGTGAACGATCCAGTGAGAGCAGATGATCTTCCATAGAAAGAGCTTTTTTTCCTATAGCCTTCACCGAGATAAATTACAAGGTTGAGAAAAGGTAGCTCAGCCTTTTTGTCATAAGTAGGAAAAATACTGAGACAAAATAGTCCCTACTTTGTCTCAGTATATCTTTTGACTGGGTTGGAATGTACGTGAACTTCCAACACCGTCCATCTGAGTATTTCATAAAGATTCACTTTTTATGAAATATTAATTTTTGAGTGAAAAAGCTGCTTTAAACCCTTAAGGACACATGGCATGTGTGACATGTCATGATTCCCTTTTATTCCAGATGTTTGGTCCTTAAGGGGTTAAAGGAACACTATAGTCACCAAAACAACTATAACTTAATGAAGCAATCTGATGTATAGATCATGTTTATGCAGCCCAAGGCACACCTCCCTGCATGTGACTTGCACAGCATTCCTAAACACATCCTTTAAATAATCATCTAATGTTTATACTTCCTTTATTGCAAATTCTGTTTAATTTAGAATTTCTTGTATCCCGCACTTTTTTTAATAGCTTGCTAGACCTTACAAGAGACTCCTGTATGTGATTAAAGTTCAATTTTCAGAGCATCAGATAAAAACTTTTAAGGTAAGTTAACATCTAATTGAAAATTTAAGCCTTTTGATTTCATGCAGGCTGTGTCAGTCATAGCCAGAGGAGGTGTGACTAAGGATGCATGGACAGAAACACAAGTGATTTAACTCATAAATGGCTGATAATTGAGCAGTGAAACTTCAGAGTCATCTATTTACAAACTTCTTCATTAAGATAAAGTTGTTTTGGTGACTATACTGACCCTTATAGTGTAGTGCTTCTGGTTCAAGAAGTGGGGACTGAATCTTAATAAGCAGGCAATTACTCTCACTTTAGATATAAATGCCTGCATTTATGATGTTAGAGTAAGGGAACATTCTAAGCACCATAACCACTGCACCCTCCTGCTTTAATTGCAAGATGTAGTTACAGGTTATATCAGAGGAACAAGAAAAGAGGTGCACTGTTAAGTGCCTTTGTGTTGGGTATAAGAGTGATTGTCTCAAGAACAGGTGAGGGCAATACTCACCAGGAGGAAGGTGAAGAAGAGTGCATTGTTTAGCAAACCTAGTGTTCTATAGTCCTTTATTTCCCCTTTACAGTTCTGTGGTTTTCTAAATAATTATATTTTTTGGACCTATTGGTGATACAAGTTATTAGCAATTATTTTACATATAGCAGAGTGACATTTTTCAACTATATTTAATATTACTGAGGGATATTTTGTTTAGTATTTGCATACAATATTACATATTATTGAGCTCTTTATAATAATAGAATCTTTTCTGAATAACTCAGACCATTTGTTAGATGTTTGGCTGTGCGCTAAATATCGCTTGAATTGAAGCCAACAAAAGACTCCCGATTCTCATTGAAATCAAAGTTCTGTTTAAAACTTATTATCCTCTATAAACACCCACAGTTTGGGTTGTACTTTCTTTTTTTATTGAATTTACGTCTTTATTTTTGATACTTGATGTGACAGAGCTCCTGTACTCCGACCAAGTACCTCTGCCCAGTCCACTTCCTAGCAGCTTGCTGGGACCCTGGAACACTTCAACCCCTGTAACTGAAGCTTGACTGGGATCTCCCTGGAGCTCTTTCCTTCCAGGCAGGTATTGTCCCCTTTGCCTATTCCTCTGCAGCTTTCCTTCTAGGCAGGTATCATCCCCTCTGCCTGTTCCTATGCAGCTTTCCTACCAGACAGGCATGCACCTCTGCCTGCAATGTGATAGCTCTTGTCTTTAAAAAAAGACCCTTGTGGCTCTCAGACCTAGCTCTCTTTTTGATTTGGTCCCGGGCTAGAGGGATCGTGCAGCTAGCCAACAGGTCTGAAGACTCTGTTACTCTGATCCCTAAAAATGCACACCGGACACACAGTTCCAAAAGGAACTAACATACCATTCTTTATTTTGAACAAAGACTAACCTTTGAGAACTAGTACTGAAGCATGTGCTGACAAATGTTTTATAATACAAATATATAGAACACTAGCAAATGAGCAGTTAAAATTAATACAAATAACATTTTCGAACACAATAAAAAGGAACAATATGTGTATTTAACCACATATTTGGCTGCCCTCATTTGCATACCTGCATTATGTAAACGCACACACTTCCATTCAGCCAGCAGAGGTTGCTACAGAGTTATTAAAGTAACAATGTATACTTTGCACATTGATTGCTGCTGTCACACACCTCTTTCTGAGGTTCCTGGGGCCAGGTCCATCGTCTGTGGGAAAGGTGCTGACCTTCAAACCTCTACAAAATGCCCTGGCATAGGAGCCTCTCTCACACTTTGTACATCTTTTTAAAAAATAATAGGATGATTTCCCATAGAAAAGCACAGGCAAACTATGGCTCATGCGCGGCGAAACGCATCACGTGCCAATCAGCATTTCCTCATAGAGATGCATTGAATCAATGCATGTCTATGGGGTGGGTTCAGCATGGAGATGCTGAACGTCAGTACTGAACGTTGTGCAGCTCTTACCCAGAAAGCAATTCTACTGGCCATCTAAGTGACTGCCACTTGCTATGTTTCTATTCAGTAATGTAAACACTGTTTCTTCTCTGAAAAGGCAGTGTTTAGAGTTAGAAGCCTGTAGAAACAGATTGTAGACACCAGAACAGCTACATGAAGCTGTAGTTGTTTTGGTGACTATAGTATCCCTTTAATGATGCATTTTTCTTATTGGGGGGTATATCTAAAAACAGCTTGCAAAACACTTCAGATCTCATGTTTGCAGCCTCTGCAAGCCCTCCCCTTCTTCCCCAACCCAGACTTTCTGTGGCTATCCAATTACAGACTTCCCAATGCAGCTCACCAATTAGCGTTTGCAATGCAGAAGCAATTGCCTGCCTTGACTTTAGCTCCACTGCACTAAACAAACCAGGATGTAACAAGGCCGGTTGTCTGATTGATAACCAGGGATAGCGTAGCAAGATTAGTTTACAAAAGTGTCAATTCTATTTAAATATGCACATTTTGTAAACTAAAAAAAAGAGGGAATAATCTTAACAATCTTCTGAAACTATTAATGAGTTTGGTAAAAATTTCTATACAGGTTGGGAATAAAACTCGTATATGGTATCTGACACCTTGTTTTGTTTGGTATACAGAGCCAGTAAAATGGTTCTTGTCCTAGCCTTTCTGAAAATCTTAGCTTTGAAAACATTTCTTAAAAAGCTTGCAACAGAAAAAAAAAAAAATTCTCATATTTTCCAATATCCTTTGTAAAGGAACCTCCAAATAAAAGACCCTTTTATGCTGGGCTTTCTTAGATGTAGATAATTGAGTATGTTGAGAATCTTTTATTTAGTAAGCTTGCCTTTCATCATTTCATAGCCATGGCAGAAATTATAATACCAAGAAGGCAAGCTGCCCTGTGGATCCAAATATTTAGAAAACTGGCTCCCATTGAGACTGCAGATGCATATTTAAACCAAAACCACATAATTAAGCTAAAGTTGTTTTGGTGCTTGGTGTGTCCCTTTAAATAAAGGGTAGAATAAAGAGTAATCCAGGAGAAAAAAATAATATGTATTGTCACAGGTTCATGAGTCTATTGCTGTTATTTCTTCAATCCTCCACTAGTCCTAATTCCAGATGTGCTGAATATAGTGAAAGTATTCCCTTTGTGTAGAGTTTCCTCAATATAATGGACGCAATCAGTCGTATTGGGTAAAAGCAGCAATCTCACAATATTAGGACACACTTGACTTTTTATGCAGTGCCCCTAGCATGGGGTTTCTAATACAAAATCACAAGAGTTTCCTTCCCACAAGCCATTGTGTTTGAGAGATAATTGAACTCCAATTAAGCTAATCCAATTCTCTCTCAAATAGGAAAACTTACATACAAGTTTTACATATCACAAAAATGATATTCCTGAATAGCCTCGATCTCGGCGCACAACATATCCAAAAAGTGCTTAGATCGGTTCGGTAAAATGAGTTATGTTCGTGCATATATGAACTGGCTGCCCGGTAGAGGGAGAGACAATTTTGTCAATTTCAAAAGGGGTTTATTTGATTGTATGGGAGGTCAGAGCGTACAACCTAAATTCCTCTTTGAAGCTGGTACCCCAGCAGAGCTACTCTGTAAGGTGTGTGAAGTCACACATAAGTGGCCTGGAAGTCTGGTTTCAGTATAACTAACTCTCCCATTTGCCATATGTCTGTCACGTATCCATCCTCTCCATGTAAGGATTACAGTAGTAATTACCTTCCTAAGAATAATAGAAGTGCCTCTCAGCATCCCTACGCCATTATGCCTGGCATTTGCAACATATCGGTGGACTCCAGCCGCTGCGGATCCACTCGATTGTATAGCCCTGCGTCCGTCCACGGTGGAGAGGAGGTCGACGTGCGGGTGACGTCACGCAGGAGACACGCACGTTTTGGGGTCAAAGGCCAGGTACGGCCAATAGGATCCGCAAGAGGGTTATTTAAACTCACTTATTCCTTTAGCTCATTGCCCTCTTTGTGGTTTCCCTTTGCTGGTTATCTGAGAGTGTGTTCCTGAGTATTATTCTGTTTTTTGACTTCACTGGTTTATGATATCCGTGACTTTTGGCTATCCCTCATCGTTGTGTCTCATTCTGTATCCTTGACCTCAGCAAGTACTTTGACTATTCTTGGATACGTTGTTTCCAGCCATTCTAAGGTGCGGTTAGACATTATCCTTAGTCCTAGGTGTAATACTATTTCTGCGTGCTGGATCAACTAATAATCCTGACAATGTCTTGATTCCCTCTTAGATAAGGAGTCCTTTGATATGAACAAGCCTTGTGTTCCAATATCATATCACAAGAGACATTAATAGCCATCCACAGATTAATACTCAAGCCTCATTTTTATCATATTTAGAATGGGACAAGCACAATCTTCCAATCAAGCCTAGACATGATTTGCGAAGAAGGGAACCCCACAGAATCTGTTCGGTAACCGAACAGAAGAGAACAATTCCATTCAAATGCAGGGAAACATTAGATGATAGAAAGTATAATTAAGGGAACGTGTACGAGGAGTCCCATCTCCTGTGACACATTTAATTATTTATTTTTTTTACATGTTAAAACAACACTACAGTCTCCTTATAGGAACACTATAGACATCCTTATCACTTCATGTCAGTTAACCCTGCAGCTGAAAACATTGCTATTATGCAGAAACGGCAGTATTTACATTGCAGGTTAAACTGTCTCCTTTGGATGTCCATATAAAATCCACTAGATGCACTTCTGTGACATAGTTGAGTAAAACGCCACTATTTTAGTCAGATGAAATAGTTGCTGGAATGTGTTTTGCTGCACATGTGTATTAGCCTCCTAATGATTTCCTTTTGGGAATGCTTTGGATTGGCTGAGATTATCAATCTTGATAATCTCAGCCAAGAATGCAGAACCAGCTGTGAAGAGTGCAATGCTGCATGGAAAGCAAGGTAAGTTAACTCTCAGGGAGTTTAAGGGGCAAAATTCTTAATATGCATTCCTAACACGATAGTGTTGGATTACCTATGTATGTCGCCAGTCCGCCTCAGAATGGAGATAAAAAGTAGCTTTACTTACCTTTTTTTCCATCTTCGTGCTGGTCTCGCGGCAGCAGGACCCCCCTCCATGGCTGAGATCATAAATAGTGGAGATCTCCACCAATGTAATGCTTTCCCATAGTAAAGCTGATTTACATTAGGAATATTACTTTTTATTATAGTTTTCAAGGTAGCACATTTTAATTCCTTTTGAAATGTTTGGCTTGTAGCAGCTGCAGGACCTGACCAAATGCCAGTATAACAGCCATGTTGCCAGTTCTTTGTCCCCATATAACCTTTCATACTGAATGCTGTTCTTCACGTGTTCATTATTTGTGCAGGGTAAACAGATTGGAAATAACCACAAAGAGACTCTTCTAGTTCATAAAATCTCCTCCTAATAATTTTAGTATGCTTTTACATGCAGTATGAAACTTTAGTCATTTTAAGCCTGATTATTATATTATATTCTTTTCAGATCATATTAGAAGACGTGTTCTACGTTGCCCAGTAAATAAACAGAATGGATATTCCCTGCTCGCTTTCAGCCAGGTTTGAAGGGTGTGTTCCTTTTTTTATTGCTAGTTAGCTGTGATGACATTTGATGCTCAGCTTGCATCATTTTCTTCTTTGTTAAAGTTGTTTGTCAGAAAATGTAGAAATACCTCCTGTTTCTCCAATTGTGTTGCATTTATACAGCTTCAGAATTGTACAATTTTCACTCCTTCAGGGAAAGGATATAAACAAATTACGAACACGCTCTTTCTCAAAGTACAAATGCGGCATGAAATCCCCCAAAATTGTCCAGCACACAACAGTAGATTAAGTGCGCTCCAAATTTATTGAGGTCGTTAAAGCTTACAGTACAGTCTTTCGACCTAGTGATAGGTCTTTCTTAGTCAGGGAAAGGGTCAAAGGGGCGTTCTGGAAAATGTTCTGTTTTATAAAAAAAAAGATGGTTATTTCAGGTCCATGTAAGATGCCAACGTATGTTAATATCAATGCACAGATACCGGTAAGTACATTTTTCTTATTATGGCACATGTACAAACCTGGAAAAGCTGGATGTAGCGGAGACATACAAGATGTCTCTTGGTTCTCCGAGGCAAGAAGAGGAAACGGTTTGCACCACCAATTTGTTTATGCACTCTCTTTCCCCCTTCCCTCCCCCCATATCTTTTACGGAGTTATGCACTATTTTGAGAACTCTTTTCCATAGGACTACCACTTTCTTGTCGCCACAGGAACTAAAAGGTGTTTTTATGCTGCTGACTAGCTAAAGTTTTCCAAAATATGTAGATACATTTACTATCTGTGTAATTTATAGATACATGTGCTTTGATGATCAGGAGTACTGTCCCAAAAATAAGAAAAAAATTCAAAATTACTGAGCTTTACTTTTATCTGTGTATCAATTTGTCTTCTGCCCATAGTTACTGTCTTATTTTTGTTCTCTATAGATCCTTTGCATATTTCACAGTGAAAGACAGACTGCCTCAAATTTTGACCAAAGTGATTGACACAGTTCATAGATATAAACACAAGTTTCTAGAAGAATATGGAGAGGTAAGTATTGTGTTCTGTTTTTTTTAAATTAATTTATTTTCAAATTCATGACATCTGAAATCTTCTTTAATTTACCCTTAAACAAGCTTATGATCACCAATTGATAACTTGTCCAAAGACACAGTCTACACAGGAAAGATACTCTTATTTTTATGCCCAATTTATGCCATGACAAAAGACATATTGCCAAATGCTGTGTAGATTAATCCTATTCTCAGAGGTACTCCAGTAGCAGAAATATTGTAAGGTCTTTCTTTTTGAATGAGTCCCCAGACATATGTTTTTTCCTATGAATGCCCTTGCAGTGACATGACTATGCTACTCCGGGCTTGGTGAACAAGGGAACATTGTCTGGATATACCTCTTACGGCCAACATTGTGGAGTCTGCTATACCTCACTGTTGAAGCCAATGACAAGTTAAAACTTAATAACTTGACCGCAGAGTTTTATGTGTATGGTATTTTGCCCAGTGTTTTTTGCCTGTGGTTAGAAATGCATGCTATCATACATGTGGTAATTCCTATAGTCAGCCATACTATTAGAACTGAATGATTATCTCATCATATACCGACAAGTGTTCTGTGTGGATTTAATTTTGTAAACATAGTTCTTTGTTTACTTTTTAGGAGGGTATAGATGGAGAAAAGCGAGCTTTAGCCTACTTTTCCAAGCTACGTAATGAGATGCAAACCGATAAGCCTATCATTCCCATCATTGATGACCTTCCTGATACACATATCTGGAATGAGTACCTGCAGTACCAGAAATCATTACTTGGTGATGGTGAACAGCCCAGCTGGTTCCGATCTCCTTGGCTGTATGTAGAATGTTACCTTTATCGTAGGATTCATGAGGGTATGACACTCAGGTAAGTGTACAAAATGGGGTTACTTTGGAGTTTAAGCTACAGAATGTGCTTAGTGGACTAACTAGCTATTTCATTTAGGGTTAAAAGAGGGCCTATCTCCTGCTCCCTTGGCCCTCCATAGAAATGAGCATGCAGCTTTTTTCATTGAAGGCATGTACATGGTAGGTGTGTATGTGTGTAGGGGCCTAGTGTTTGTGAATGCTGAGGTGTTTTTGTGTGGTGGGTCAATGTGTGTTTGAATGCAGGAGTTTTATTTTGTGAAGGGTTAATATGTAAATGTTAGGGTGAGATATTACTCATTCTGACTGAAGATTAGAGATTGCAGACATGCCAAAGTTGACAGTCTACCACATAGCTGTGTTTGCTATTTGCGATCCCCATTGTGAATTAACGGAAAGGCTGGTCACTCACAAATTTTGTGTACATATGCTTTTCGATTGAAATGGTGACTTTAGTAAAAATATTTTGTTTTCATTTTCTTCTTCCCACATAGAGATGGATATGTGAGGACCATAACAAGTAAAAACTTACATATATCACTTGCTTTTTCATATTTTTTTTCTCTATTTCTAGATTTGGACTAATATCTATTATCTTGAATATAAGTTCAAATTTAAGGTGGCTCTATCACCTCAAACTTACAATTCTCCTGTTGTTTCCTCCTCTCTTCCTCTTTCAGAATCTGTTCTTATTTTATAAATTTCTGATCCATTTCTCTTTAAAACATAAGACATAGTAGGGACTACTTTGTCTTATGTATTTTTCCTACACTTGACAAATCTTAACAAAGGGTAGTGGAGCTTGCCTTAACTTTACAGAATATGAGTGATATACCCAAATGAAAGTCTAAAAGTGTGAACCCTGGCTATTGAGGAAGCCTGAGCAGTAAAGGGTGTCAGTGATTACCAGCCAATCACAGCTGCACCTTGCTGGTATGAATTGGAATGGCTAACGAAGTGTGCAATCTCTGTCTTGGCCATACTTCTAGTGGCTGGGCTGTGGTTAACCAGGGACTGCTTGGAAATGGTTTAACACTGACTTGAGGGGCAGCGCCAGGGACTTGAAGCACTATAACCAATTCAATGAGATGAAATGGTTATAGTGCCTTGATTATTCCTTTAAATCCATAAACAGGAATTGTAAATTTACAAGTGACATAAGCATCCTTAAAAATATATATTTTTGTATGTTTGGCACATATAGTTAATTTTTTGTTGTTTGTTTTTATAGCCCTCCTATATCTACGTATGATGTGTTCATGGAAGCAAAAAATGATGGTTACTTGCAATCTGAGAATGCTGTTATAGCACTCTGCACACATCTTCAGGAATTCAAAACAAACATTGCAGATACCTCTGAAGCTGGATGCAAAGAAGCATTCTCTAAACTGCTGCAGGTAAGGATATCTTTCTGAAAACATTTATTTTATTTGCTTAACATGTGCCATATGACTTGGTAGACCTGTTATATAACCAATATAATCTTTATAAGCTTGCCAAATAGGTATTAGGCTAGAAGCTGCACTTGTTTCCACATTGCCAATGGTGTAGTCATATCCTGTGAAGTGAGAAATTGCACACATGGATGCATACATAGTGTTAGGGCCTGGTTTACCATCCTTGCTGCCCCAAGGCCAGTTTATCACTACACCCCCCTCAATACACACACACTGACCCTTGTAGACACAAACTGACTTTGGTGGTTACCCTTGTGCTGGGTAAGGCAGGCTGCTACTGGCAGGCTGGTGGCTGGCACTCAGGGCTGGTGCAAGGATTTCTTCAACCCTTGGCAAAGATCCACTTTGCCGCCCCACAATGTCACTCTCTCACTGACACACACACACACACACACACACACACACACACACACACACACACACACACACACACACACACACACACACACACACACACACACACAGAAACTCACTGACAGACATACACTCACTCACTCACTGACAGACACAGACACTCACTGACATACATACACTCACTCACTGACCGATACACAGAGGCAGACACTCACTGACAGACACACATACACACACAGACACACACACAAACACACTCACTGACATACATACACTCACTGACAGACACACATGCAGGCAGACACTCACTGACATACACACACACTGACAGTCAAACACTCACACACTCACTGACACACAGACTCAAACATCCAGCCTCATTACCTTCCTGGGGTCCAGTGTGGGGCAGCTCCTCACTCCTCCAGCGCGCTGTTTAGCATGCCGGGGCCGGAATGACGTCATATTCCGGCTCCCAGTATCACAGAGGGCGTGCGAGGGAGTAGTAGAAAGCTGCAAGCTGCTCCTTCGATGCCCGCACTGCCGCCTCCTTTCCTCCGGCATTCATTGTCAGAGCAGGTACCTGCCATCAGGGTAAGCAGGTGCCTGATCTGCCATACCGATTAAAGGACAGCCATATGACCACCTTCTGGGCCCCCTGTGACAAGGCTCCTCCGGACGCCCCCATTTTCATCGCCTGGAGGATTGGCCCGGCGCTAAGGGAGGAGTGGGGGGGGGGGTGGGGCGGCTTTAGAGCCGCTTACCCAGTGCTGTGGCTTAGGACACGGGGAGCCCACCAGGAAATATGCCGGTGGGGGCGCCCCCAGGGAGGGAGCACCCTCCATTCCCTAGCTGGAATGGAGGTTGAGAAGGACAGGGTAGTGCTCAGACGGCTATTGCGCTACAACTCTTTGGAGACAGGACTCATAGTGTATGGTCCAGCATCTTTGGATGGTTAAACTACTGTAAAAGCAGAATCTTGATGTATAGGAGTGCTTTGTATCCTTTTGTTTTGTGTAAATGGGAATAATTCCCCACGCTCTCTTGTGTGCTGGAAGGAAAATGGCCTAGAATAGTGTATGAGTAGCCCAGCAATAGAGAGACTGCAGAGAGGATAGTCTTTACTAAATTATGGGATAGAGTGGGCAACGTTACTGTGGTTCTCACCAGATTCAATTACACAGAAACAAAAACTGTAAACATTTGAAAGGCCAATATCTGCAGGGCAGACAGGGCAAGTCTACAGTCTTATCCTTGGTTTTCTAATCACTTCTGATTTTTTTAAAGCATTTCTGAATAGTTTAAAATAAATAAAACTACAAGCTGTTAAAGGGTAACAAATTAATCATTGTCACCTCTGAAGAGTGATTAAATGTGTTTAAAGTTGTATATTTCTTGGGCTACATTACATTTTTCTTTGAGGACATGGGAAAGTAATTCTAATAACTCAATGGAATGAACTATATACACATGCTATGATTTGAAATATGCTACAATGATTTTTCAAAGTATATGAGTAACTGGTGCATTTTATTTAGACTTGTATCCCTTCACATGTAATGGAGGAGTAATGTACATAAATATGTATTATGGGATTATTACAAAAGTTTACTTTACTCTTCTTTTAATAAGCCAACAATTCATGTTTGTGTTTATCTCCTGTAGGTGTCTTTATGGGGAAACAAGTGTGACCTTTCAATTTCTGGTGGGCAGGATAACTCTCAGAAATTCAGCATTTTAAACTCTTTGGAATCTTTCAAATCCAACATTCTAGTTGACAACACAGAATCTGTATGGCAAATCCTTTCACAGAAAAAAAATTCTAGTCGAAGAGTTGACATTGTGTTAGATAATGCTGGATTTGAGCTAATTACTGATTTTGTCTTAGCTGATATACTGTTGTCTTTGAAGCTGGCTACCGAAGTTCACTTCCATGCTAAGTGCATCCCTTGGTATGTCTCAGACACCACTAAGCGTGATATTGACTGGACTATTAAGCAACTCTTAAGTACAAACAACAGGTGGATGTCCAAGTGTGGAGAAATCTGGAAAGAGAACCTGAAGAAGGGTCGTTGGGTTTATCACGAGCATCTGTTTTGGACTTTGCCGCATGAGTTCTGTAGCATGGCCCAGACTGCTCCTGATTTGTATTCTGAGCTGCAGAAATCTGACTTGGTTCTATTTAAAGGAGATTTAAACTATAGGAAGCTGACCGGAGATCGGAAATGGGACTTCACTGTACCTTTTACTCAAGCTCTCACAACATTTCATCCCGCACCACTGTGTAGTGTAAGAACCCTAAAATCAGATGTGCAGGTTGGCCTAAAACCTGGCGCAGGAGAGCAGCTAGCTGTGTCTGAAACTGACTGGATGATTTCTGGCAAATATGGAATTATCCAGTTTGACGCTTCAGTATGAATTTGTTCCAGTGTGTTAAAACTCCACCTCCTCATATAATGCTTTAATTGAATGTTTATTTTTTATAGATTTTTACTGGGTGCCATAAATGCTTCCTTGGTATAGTAATTTCTGCATTTGCTGAATGATAAGAAAGGTATTTGTGTGTTTATCTTAGATTACATTTGAAATGTTGTCATTATCATACAATGGTGGACTAGTTCTCGGGATCGCTGGAATACAGAATAACAGTTCTTTTTTGTAAATATGGATCTGCTAAGCTATACGATTTTATTTAGCACAATGTATAGGCAAAACAATTAGCAGATAAAAACTATGAATGCACTGCATCAGTAGTCTTTTGAAGTTGAGAACTTTAAATCATACTTGTCAAAGCCAGACTGGGGCAAATTGAGGAATTACTTTGAGAATAAATGGAAATCTCCTCATGATTAACCCACATTTGACACATTATCCCTGAGCTGCAATGCTTTCATAAATATGGTCCTTAAAGGAAAAGTATTGAGAAAAATGATTTTGTATTTGGATGCATTATATAGATAATGCATTAAAAATAATGCAAAAAATAACCAGAAGAAAAATGCAATATAAAAAGATATTTACCTTTACAGTTTTTGCACTGATTAGTTTGTCAGCCTTCAACTTTATGTATTCTCCACTCTAACAAAAAAGAAATTCTTATTTAAACAATGTCAGCCCAGCAGGAAGTTTATGAGATCAGTAGTTTATCCCTAAGCAACAGTTCCATTTATCACTTAGCAGTATCGGTATCAGTATACATAGCAGTACCACTCATCCTATCAATTTAAACCTGGTTCACTAGAAGGAGAGAGAGAGCTCACAAAACTTGGATGAAACTGGCATTGAACTAATCCTTCCGGTTGCTTGATTGACATTAAGCATCTAAGAAATACGTCAATTTCTGCAGTTTAGGGTACTCTAGTCACATCAGTTAATTCAATGTTATGATGGTGTTTACAGTGTCCATTTAATCTCATATACAGGAGAAATTATGACTTCATAGCATTGCCCATATCTGTAGGTATTATCTGTGTGATTACACAAAAGGAATTTGGGAACTGCATGCTTTAAAAGTAAGCATCTCTGCACATCTCCTGTCTTCTCTTTCTCTTCCCAATATGTCCATGCTTGATGGTAAATCCTTTATTTTTTGCTGAAGCAGTGAGACTTTAACCCCTTAAGGACCAAACTTCTGGAATAAAAGGGAATCATGACGTGTCACACAGGTCATGTGTCCTTAAGGGGTTAAAGGGACACTATAGTCACTAGAACAACTACAGCTTATTGTGTTTGTTCTGGTGAGTAGTGTGCAGCACTGCCATTCAGTGTCTCCACCATCTGCATGCAATGAACTTTCCTCATAGAAATGCATTGATTCAATTAATCTCTATGAGGAGCTGCTGATTTACCAGGGCTGTTTCTGGCTTGTGTTGGCTCTGCCCCTGATCTGCCTTCTTGATAGTCTCAGTCAATCCTATGGGGAAGCATTATGATTGGCTTTTGTTCAACACTTCTGATGATGTCAGTTAAGCAGGCAGATTAGGGAGCCAAGGAGGGCCAGCAGGGCTAAATGGTGGTTTTAACACTATAGGGTCAGAAATACATGTTTGTGTTCCTGACCCTATAGTGTTCCTTTAAAGAAAGTGGTACCAGCAGTTTCACCTACAAAAGGTAGCTGTGCGTACTGCTTCTTTGTCTATTCGCAGCAATAACATTACAGAAAGACTTGCAGGGGTGAGTAACTTTTAGGCCTGGACATTACTTTTTTTTTATGTTAAAAGTACCCTCAGAAATAATTTCCATATTTTAATGATGTAAAAAATGTAAAATTGACATGGCTAATTTACAAAACCAAGAACTATAGTGAATAAAAAAAAGAACATATTTGCTAAATTTAGTCCAACATGGAGTTTGAGAAATGTTGATGTCGATTGCAACTATGATATGTTAACATATATTTTCTCTTGCCCTATGCTTTAAGTATCCCTATGCTCTCTTAATGGAACACTCAAAGCAGTGCCAATTTAGCTCAGCTGGCCTAAGCACAAAGGTAGACACTACAGCTCTTTAAAAAGTCTGCGATTGGACAAGCACATTCAACAAAGAAATACAATGCATTAGCTTGCCTTGATGAAAATAAAATATATATTCTATTATCTTATTTTCAAAAATCTGTGTCATTCTTCTGTGACACAGAATACATTCTATTTTTTTGGCAAATATGTGCTACTCTAGAGCTCAATGTAGTGGTTATGGTGACAGGATTACTCTAGTGGGGATAGCTGGGCGCCAGATCCTGCCTCTCTGCAGCTGACAGTTCTTTGCCTGAGCGATCAGCTGATGTTCTCAGTGAGCTGGCCTGGCACTGCAGGGATTAGCTTGTGAAAGCTAATGGATTTAATACCAGAAAGGATGAGACAAAAACCAGTGTCCAGTAGACACCAGGTAAGAAGTCAAATAATTAGCAAATCTGCTGTAGTTGTTATGGTGTTTCCTGGTTTGACCAAATATGAAGAGCCCTGAGGTACTGTTGGCCTAACCACCTGTACCTTAGCAATGTACATTTCATTCCTGCTGTCTAAATTTATAGACACACTCTAATAAATGTTTTTATAAACACTAATAAAAACATTTTATATCTGTGGTGATGGCATATGCAGGAATGGTCAGTTAGCAGGGAATGACACTTACATGCCAGACCAGCCCAGTAGCCCACTCATGACAAATATGAGCATACCTACTTTTTGAAGTTTTCTGGGTCATTTGTACTGCATGAAACATCTGTCTTTCTTTTCCTCCCTGCACACCCTCTTTCCAGACCCTGCTCATTAAAAGTTGCAGTGATAAAGATAAGGGGCTACAATTTGTGCTGCTCTAGTCACTATTTTCAAAAAAGCAGGCTCCTTACTCTCTTCACCCAGCCCACTGCCAGCCTCTTTATTCCTACATTGGTCTAAGAGTTTAATGTCTCTGAATTCTTCTTTAGGCAAACACAGTCTGGGGCTACATACACCCCTTCGGCAAATGCTGTGCATTTGATCTCTGATTTTTCCAACAAGCACTAAGCGAAAAAAACATAACCAATATAAACCACTGGTCTATTGGTACATAACATCTCATTACTTCATATGATCTTTTTTTTGCGGTCATCATATTTTTTACAACTGTTTGCTAATGCAAATATCCAGTCAAACAATTATTTGCAAGAAACATACAGACATGTTCAAGTGGTTCAGTTATTTAAACTATACAGCAGAATGCGGAAACCATCGATCCATCTTGCAAAGCCGAGTCACTCTTCTGTGTATTCTTAACCCCTTAAGGACACATGACATGTGTGACATGTCATGATTCCCTTTTATTCATGAAGTTTGGTCCTTAAGGGGTTAAACAGCTGTAACCAAAACTGTTCAGGTTGGTAGTGGTGAAACCGTGTATAGAATATTATCTTGGCCCACATTTGGCATAGAATATTATCTTGGCCCACATTTGGCATTTTAAAATAACAATTTAAAGAGAATTTTTCTTCTATGGAAAGTAAACCATTGAATAAAACCATAAATATCACCTATTACTTGTGTTAACCTTTATTCACGTGATGCTCTAGTTTATTTTAAAATAACACTAAAGGAACAGTATGGGGTCAGGAACATAAACATGTATTCCTAACCCTATAGTGTTAAAAACACCATCTTGCCTCCCTGTTCCCTCTAAATATAGTAACATTTTACCTTTATTCCAGTTTGCTGCTGCTGGCTCTTCCCCTGATCTGCCTCCTTATCTGACATCCTCAGAAGTGATGATCTGAGCCAATCACAATCCTTTCCCATTGGATTGGGTTAGCTTGTCAAGGAGGAAGACCATGGGCAGAGCCAGCACAAGCCAAACGCAGTCCTGGTCAATCCGCATCTCCTCGTAGAGATACATTGAATCAATGCATCTCTATGAGGAAAGTTCAGTGTCTCTGTGCTGACGGCAGAGACACTGAATGGCCCCAGGAAGCACCTCTAGTAGCCTGGACTTACTTATATGTTTACTGAAAGTTGATATGAGGCATATCATTCAAACAATTATTTAAAAACCATTGAAAGTGACATAGTTCCAGGTGCTTGGCTTTTAGTTAGTAGACTCCTTAAAAGAGTAATATGGATTACATGAAAGGGTTTTCTATTGAGATATACAATGATGGACTGAGGTCACGAGTGCATATATATACTCTTGTGCTAATGTAATGAAACAATACTTATACTATTTGGGGTCTTCCTGTCCTCATATAGTATAAGTACAGTATTGAGGACTGAAATCAAATCAGTTTGTCAGATCTCATTGATTTCGCATTGGCTGAGCTACGTTGCTTACCTTCCAATTAGGAAGACATTTTGGCGACATGACTCAAGATGGTGGGTTTAGCATGACTACAAGATTTGAGGAGGGAGAAAAGCCCAACATAAATATATAGCCAAAACCTATTGGAGTTTTCCTTGAAGTAATGCATAATTACATTTTACCAGACACCAAAATGATAAGTTGTCTATCACTGTTCAAAGAGGTTAGCATATTAAATAAATGTATGTATCTAGAATGATGGAGTGCTATTTTAAACAGATAAACATATATCTACAAATGGCAATTATAATAACAAAGCCCACAGTAGAGAAATAGTAGCAAAGCAGTACTTATCGTGAGGGAGCAGTAATAATGAGAGCTAATGAATGCTAACCTGATCATTATAGTCCAGGATGGAACATAATAGACCCCGGTTTCCCAAACTGTGGGTTGTGACCCACAGGTGGGATGCCGGCTGATATATGGTGGGTCACGCTGACCCACGCTGGTGACTCGGGAGACCGTCAGGCCCTCACCCGACACCAAGAGGGGACCAAGCGGCTTGCAAAGAGTGTGGGCCCCTCTGTAACAGGGAGAAAGCCCTGCGCACCCCCCTGGTCTGCAGGTCCGCCTCCGCCGGGGGCAGAGCTGCAGACCATGTAGTAAGTGTCAGTGAGCGGTAACGCTCTGAGACTTCAAGTGCCAGAGCTCACGAGACTATTTCTGCATGGTCTGCAGCTCTGCTTCAGCTGGAGGACAGGACAGCAAGAGCCACCGGACCACCAGGGAGAAAGGAAGGAAGGAGAAGAGACCACTGGATCACCAGGAAACTCGCAAAAAAAAGTATTTTAATGGCTTTCACCCTCACCTCCCCCCCACTGTCACCATCACCTCCCTCCCATACTGTCCACATCACCTCCCCCCGACTGTCGTCATCATCCCCCACTGTCACCATCTCCTACCTCCCACACTCACCCTCACCTCCACCCGACTGTCACCCTCACCTTCTCCCCCACTGTCACCCTCACCTTCTCACCCCATTGTCAACCTCAACTTCTCCCCCACATTGTCACTCTAACCTCCCTCCCACACTGTCACCCTCACTCCCACACTGTCACCCTTGCCCCCCACAATGTCACCCTCACCTCCCTCCCACACTGACGCCCTCACCTCACTCTCACCTCCCTCACTCTCACCCTCACCATCCCCCCCACTGTCACACTCAACTCCTCCCCCAATGTCACTGCCACCCTCACCTCCCCTCCACACTGTCACACCTCACCTTTCCCACACTCCTGTCTCTGTGTGTCCTTTTGTATCACTGTGTGTGTATTGTGTGTCAATGTGTATCTGAGTGTCTGTGTATTAGTGTTAGTGTGTGTAACGTGTCATTGTGTGTGTCTGCATGTGTATTGCTGTGTCAGTCTGAGTATTTGTGTGTGTGTGTGTATATGTTTCAGTGTGTGTATACACTACACACAAATGCACAAAACCTACATGCACACCTACACCCTGTTCCAAAATATTATGCAAATTCTATTTAAGTGTCACAAAGATTAAATATTTTGTTTTTCAGTTTAACTCATGGATGGCATTGTGTCTCAGGGCTCTTTTGATCACTGAAAACAATCTTGGACACCTGTGATAATTAGATTGCCAGGTGAGCCCAATTTAAGGAAAAACTACTAAAGGAGGGTGTTCCATATTATTAAGCAGAGCACCATTTTCATGCAATATGGGGAAGAAAAAGGATCTCTCTGCTGCCGAAAAGAGTGAAATAGTGCAATGTCTTGGACGAGGTATGAAAACATTAGATATTTCATGAAAACTTAAGAGTAGAGTCCTCCAGAGTCTTGCAGCTGTGCATAAACCTTCCATTCGGCCACCACTAACCAATGCTCACAAGCAGAAATGGCTGCATTGGGCAGACAAATACATGAAGACTAATTTTCAAACAGTCCTATTCACTGATGAGTGCCGTGCAACGCTGGATGGTCCAGATGGATGGAGTAGTGGATGGTTGGAAGATGGCCACCCTGTTCCAACAAGGCTGTGACGTCAGCAAGGTGGTGGTGGAGTCATGTTTTAGGCCGGAATCATGGGAAGAGAGCTGGTCGGCCCCTTTAGGGTCCCCGAAGGTATAAAGATGACCTCTGCAGAGTATGTGGAGTTTCTGACTGACCACTTTCTTCCCTGGTACAGAAAGAAGAACTATGCTTTCCGTAATAAAATCATCTTCATGCAGGACAATGCACCAGCTCATGCTGCAAAGAATACCTCTGCATCAATGGCTGATATGGGGATAAAAGGAGAGAAAGTCATGGTGTGGCCTCAATCCTCCCCTGACCTCAGTCCTATTGAGAACCTTTGGAGCATCCTCAAGCAAAAGATCTATGAGGGTGGGAGGCAGTTTACATCCAAACAGCAGCTCTGGGAGGCTATTTTGACATCTTGCAAACAAATTCAAGCAGACTGTCCAGACTGTCCAAAAACCCACAAGTTCAATGGATGCAAGACTTGTGAAGCTGCTTTCAAATAAGGGGTCTTATGTTAAAATGTTTAAAAAGTTAAAATGTTGTTATAAGTTTGATTGAAATAGCTTTCGATTTCAGTAAATATGCTGCAAACACAACAAATTACAATTTTCAATTCTTTACAGCCTATAAAGTGTTTTGAAACTTACTGTCAGTGGTGTATCCTGGATTTGTGCTGCCCTCACTGACATTAACACTCACTTTTTTTAATTTAACCCCCTCCAACCTCTTTACCTTCAGGAATGCTGGGGAGGGGGGGTTCTCCCTGGGGCTGCCGGTCGGTATGATGTCATATTCTGGCTCCCAGCCTCACTCTGCGGGGCGCGAGGGAGCTGAGCAGACAGCTCAGGGGAAAGTGCTCCCTCGCCAGCGCCGCCCGTCCAGCAGCCCGTCTGGCATGTCAGTTAGCCACAAGGCTAACAAGACATTTGCCCTGGGCATTTGGGGGCAGCTTTTTTTGCCGCCCCCTGGAAGATGCCGCCCAAGGCAAATGCCTGTTTTTCCTCGCGGCTAATACGTCCCTGCTTACTGCGAGTAATAATTTGGAACAGTGCGTTGTAAGTTTTTTATGTTTAAAAAAAATACTGTTATCATTTGGAGGTTTGTTCAATAAAATTTGAATTGTACTCTTAATAGTTGATAACATGAGAATTATGCTGACTGTTATTTACATCAATTATTTAGGTAAATGAGAAAAATATAATTTGCATAATAATTTTGAACAGGGTGTACATAAACTACACACAACTGCACACCTACATTCAAACACCTACATTTACACACACAATTCATACAAAAACATGCTTACATTCAAACGCTCAAACACTGCTCACAAATACAACCCTGCAACAGGGGGCAGATCCCCAGCTGGCATAGCATTGTTGGAGTTCTCTGACAGATGAGGATCTACCCAGGGACGTATTAGCCGTGAGGCAAACAAGGCATTTGCCCTGGGCAGCACTTTCCAGGGGGCAGCAAAAAAATCCGCCCCCAAATGCCCAGGCAGATGTCTAGTTAGCCTGGCGGCTAACTGACAGTCCAGGTGGGTGGGCGGGCGAGGGAGCTGTGGGGATATTTATGGGATAATAATAGTAACAGTTGAGAATTGCCCACTAATTCAATTCTCAGATCCCAAAGAACGTTTATCGTAAGTGAGAAGTATATCATATAAATAATATTACAATTTTATTATAAAAATAGATTTTATTTATAATAACAAATTAATAATAATAATATGTAACATGCGTGATAATAATCAATGAATATCCAGTATAAAATGATATGCAATACAAAGAAATGGCTACATACGTCTCAACGGCTAAACAGCATTTTCTGTCAAGACTTTACAATTTATGACTATGCTTACACAGACATAGTGAAACTTTTCACAGCGAAGAACAGAATTCCTCAGAGTGCAGCGTAAGGTCGTAAAGTTTAGCAGACAGTTAGAATAACCCTTTCAATGCTGGCTAGATCTCCTAGGTAATTTTAAATAAAATATCATTTAAACCAGTTCATTAGTCATTTCCTGGAACCATCCAATAAGAGAATCTACCATATTTATATAAGCAGAATTTGTCTAAAAGATATCTATCTATATTAGAGCAAATCAATACACCTGGATAAAAACAACGGTATGCTAACACGTGATAATATCACATTAATATATAATTATTCTTAATTCCACCTGCAGAATGGAATGTTTATAACTATATATTCTTTAGTTAACTAAGATTTCTTAATATGGAAATCTGACCGAGCTTTATCCAGTCATATATAATGCTATTAATACATTTTAATTAATTTAATTCATTAAATGAAACCAGTATAATTACCAGTTGAGTAGATATTTCATCCGATTGGTAGTCTCAGGAACTTATTTGGATGTCTCTCTGCATGGAGGTTGGAGTCCCCAAACTTCCAATTCCTCTCTTCTCTTTTTCTTTCTCCTTTGCATCCTCTGCATTATCCCTGTCTTCCCTTTGTCTTAACTTTTAAGGGGCCAGACTCTCTATACGTCATCAGTTGATAACCCAATAGAAGCACTAGAGGTGTGGTTATCTTCCAGATCGCCATTTAGGTATTTGGTCTATAGAGGGCAGTCTTGTCCCACTAAACATACCTATCCAGAAAAGAGTTAACTTTTCCTGGTGGCTATTTTGACGTCATTTTGCGTTATCTTTATAGTGCCATAATTTAAAATTTCAAAGGGTTTCTTAAATTTTGTCCAGACTATGTGTCTGGCAAATTCTGAGTTTTGACCCGTAACTTACAATGGGACCTTACATATATAGACAGTTAAATTTTATTATTTAATCTTCTCTGTCACAATTGTCTGGGTTTAGATTTGATTATATTCCATTAGCATTTTAGACAGTCTATCCAACCCCCGTTTCTGCTTATCACTTGTTTATACTATGCATTCCTTTAGCTCTGGGAAAGTGGCTAGTCTTACAGATAGAAATCTTGTGTCTTTTTGTTAACTTGGAAATAACAAAATGGAGTCTGCTCTGTTCAGAGTGACTCAGAATATACACTTTTAATTTCTATCATAGCACAAAATGTCTGCCGATATAAATACCCTGACATAACCCCCCTTTAGTGCATTTCGTAGCCAAAATTGATTTAGCTTATGAATAAGCACTATAGAAGTTTCCAGACAAATTGTGCAATCACATCATTTCTAACATAGGCCCGTGCGTGGAATGAAAATTTTTGTATATATTTGTACCTGTAAGAGTTTTGAACTTTACACTTAGTACAATCAACCATAATATCATTATTATCATAGTACATTATTTTCATTTGAAAAATGTCTTTGGGAGTTACATATGGGATGGTCAATAAAAAGCAAATCTCCATACGTTCCGGATCAATTAAGAGAGGTATAGCGCTCCCCATCTCAAAGGCCAGATTTAATTGCATAGGCTCAATTGTCTCTCCATCCACATTGGCAAGCATCGCATGAACAATATCCTTGGATACAAAATACAGAGGTATGCGTCCCCCTGCCAATTCGATCATTCCAGTTTGCACTTCGTCGAGAAAAGCAAGTGTGTGGAACAATATTGGGTCATGCAGAAATAGAAGTTCACGCTTAAATAAGTCATGACTTTGGTGCAGCTCAGTGGATTTGGCAATTAACTCCGAATGCAAATTTGTTGTAACAACTGTGTCTTCCACAATAGTTAACACGTCTTGGAGAAGTGTTCTTTGCTGTTGTATCACCTGATGAATATCGTTAATGTGTTGCTTTAGCGCATAGATTTCCATATCCAGTTTTTGGACAGTAATAGAGTTGGCTGCAGACATTCCAGTTGCGACAACTGCACCGACAGTGGTACAAACTAATGCAACAATTATAGCGGTGAGGAACCTTTTGGGTCGGTTGCTCATCGGAATAGAACTGGATACAAATGGTTTCCGGGCTTGCTCCAAGATGTTTTGCACACGGTCCTGTGCTCTTTGGAGGTGCATCTGGTACCAAGTCTGTAACTCAGGAAGCTGCATCGATGAAATGTTGTATGCCTTCTCGATGGAAATCTTGGGGTCCAAGCTGACGAACACACGTTGGGTCAGGATCCTCTTCTCTGTTAAGATGAACCCTGGTGTCTCTTGAATCAGGATGCCGGAGGATGGTCCCATCTCTGCGATCGGGTCGGTCCGTAGCTCTTGGCACAGGAGCAGTATGATCCAGAAACACGCCACATCCTTCTTGGACATCTTTCGACAGTCACGGATCAGGAACTCGTTTCAGACTTATCTACTAATGATTCAAGGTTTGTTAAGCATACAAACTTATAACAGTGTGACATCACTTGGCCTAGGACAACGCATTATTACGATTCATCAACATATGTATTCTCTCTAATTCTATTTTTATAACTTCATCCCTCACTACATTTATTACTGACTCTTCAGCAATATGCCTATAGCAGTTAAACAAGCTAGTAACCTGCTTAAAAATGTAGTTATTGGATGGCAAGGAAATGGTTAATGACATGAACGTACATGAGATCATGGCACATCACAACATTTCACATCATACGATACCACGTGAATCAAGCATTCATCCAGGTTAGTCGTTCACCCTTCTGCATCCGAATCCACACCTATAATCCTTAATTGAGATTTAGGATGACAAGCACGCAACTGGTTAATGTGAACCCACTTTTCAATAAAATCACCATCCTTAGGAATTTTTATCTTGTACGCTACTGGGGAAATTTTGTCAATGATGACATATGGCCCTTTCCAAGAAGGTAAAAATTTATTTTCCTTGACTTGATTTCGCGCAAAGTTATACAGATAGACTTGATCTGTTATCTCATATTCCTTTTTCGTGGTTTTTAGATCGTAATAGGTCTTAACCCCTGTCGCTGCTTTTTCTAGATTATTTTGGGCAAAAGCAAATGCATGCTGTAAATGCTTGCGCAAATCTTTGATATACTGATGCGTAGTGGCAGCATTGATCAAGTTATGATCCGAAGTACGATATAGTAAATGCTGTGGTAAAACCATCTTTCTTCCTGTCATCAATTCAAAAGGAGACAATTTGGTAGCAGTGCTAGGTGTAGCTCTAATCGCCATTAAAACTAGGGGCAATTTAATGTCCCAGTCTTTACCAGACTCCTTAACATATTTCTTCAGAATATTAACGATAGACTGGTTATATCGCTCTACCCCCCCGCTAGACGCAGCGCGGTATGCAATATGTAGCTTTCGTTTAACACCTAGAATGTTCCACATCTTAGCCATTACTTCGCTGGTAAAATGACTACCTCTGTCTGACTCAATTCTTTGAGGCAGACCGAACCTGGAAAAGACATGGTTAATCAACAAAGTGGCGCACACGGTACTCGTGTTCTCTTTACAAGGCAAACATTCTATCCACTTTGTGTACATACATGTAACGGTTAACATGTATTTGTTACCTCTTGAAGATCTTGTTACAGGACCTATAAAGTCAATTTGAATATCAGACCAGGGTAATGACACCCCCCTCT